ATTTTTTTTTTTTTTTTTTTTTGGGAATTATATTGAGAAGTTGAAAACACTTTAGTAGACCCCACACACAAGAGTTGCAAGTTGCATAAGATTGCTCAAGTAATTTTTGACATCAAACACTCCCTAATCCCTTGTCTCGCCACTAAGAAGAGACAAGGAGATAGAGACAATTTAAATTAAAAAATAAAAAATTCCATGTGATATTTTGTTTTATGACCTTTCTTATTAAGATGGGCGATAGCATTGCCTAACTCACATATAATACACAGATGTTAAAACTCGAACCCAGGACCCTTTTTAAAAGGGAGGGGGCGCATTTGTTCTAAACCACTACACTAGTGGGTCATTTGCCATTCCAAGTGATATTAAAGAATACAAAATAGATAAAATTTCACCACCGAAATGTCCTCCTTTTATAAAAGGTGAACCTAGGTATGTATACCCTGTTTTATTTTGGAATGGAATATAGTAATGTACTTTAGAATAGTTTTTTTATGGACATCCTATTATGACTCACATAAGGTTTAATATATGGATAAGATTTTCACAAAAAATATATATATGGATAAGATAATTCATTTTATGTTAATTTCAAATTTCTCCACCAAACTCGCCTTAAAATTTGAAATACATGAAAAATAAAATAAATGTAGACTTTTTAATTTTTAACATCTGGATGTATCAATATGCATAAGTAAATGGTAATAGTGACGGTTGCGGTGATGGTGTTGATTTCAGAAAAAAAACACTTGCGTGTATGTTTGGTGTCATAGTCACCAAAGTTTGTGTAACAAGAAACCCATATGATATAATATGTATAAAGCTTAAGGCACACTTTTAATACGCACAATCATCTGCAAAACTAAATGTATCGAATATATTTTAAGCCTATCAAACAAATACATTTTAGTTTGAAACTTCTCCTACACTCTTTCTTACTAAATATTTTGAAAATAAGTGTTCACTAAATATATGTGTATATATATATTAGCAAAATGTGCAAGTATAATGGAAAGGATTGAGGATGAGTGCAGCCATTTCAATTTCCTAATGAATTTATGTTTGGATTGTAAGTAAGTGCACCGTCTCTCGCTTTCTTTTTGTCCATATTTGGCACCAAAAGCTACCTCTAGGCTTTGCCTCAAGAGACATCATAAGAAACTTTAAAGTTAACTTTTTCTAAATGCATATCCTTTTAAAGGAAAGTTTTCTTAAATTTATGAAAACGTAGGTTCTCAAAACTCAGCCTGGTATTATTTATATATTGGGGAAAACCAAATTCTGATTTTTTAAGAAATTAAGGTGCGTCATCACTAACACGAAACATCATACATGCCCTAAAAACAAATTCGAGAGAGAAAAAGTTCTGTATACCATTTGACAACTCAGAAATTTGTAGTTGGACCAAGTTTGAAGATTTTATTATTTTCTGTTAAAGTTAGAGAGAGAAAAAGTTAGGTACATTAATCAATTGGTGAATGAATAACCGGTGGAATATTTCAACAAAGATACTACTTGCCTCCTTTCGGGTAAGGAGATACTCATCTTTCCTGCGAATCACAGTTTGACACATATGCAAAAATAATTTATAAAAAACACAAAAATAAAAATTTATGCACACATGTCACACTTCTATTAGTAAGAATATAAGAGCTCTTACTTACCTGATAAGGAGGGAAGTATTTTCCTTTCTACAATACTTCAATTTAGAAAAGCTCACACATTTTTATAAGTGATGTGACACATCTCACACTTATCTCTTAATTAATTATATAAGAAATATTCATCACTATAATCATATCGCTAAAATTCACATAGCTTTTAAGGAGTCTTCTCTCTTTTAAAACAATCTACGAGTGAGAGAATTTACTAAACTAGGGTGAATAATTAAAATTCAACGGCTTTTTTGTGACACAAAATATGTTCATAGAGAATTAGTGATTTTTTGTAAGATAATTTTGTTAGTATATAATAATCTAAATTGCAAATACTAGATTGAGGACCCTAGAGATGTCATGGGCATGGCACAGACAGTATAAAATTAGCTGTTTATTGAAACTAAATCGATGATGTGGCTAATTATTATCCACTTTTAGCATTATCATTATCCAAAATTTATCAAATTCACCTCTATCATCATTAATCATCAAAATAAAAGTAAGATTCCCAAACCTTAATTATGCCAATCATGCCATATAATACTGTGGATAAGCATTCAACCAAATAGGTAACTTTCCCTCTTTTGGGTTTTTTTTGTTCAAAAATATTTTTAATTTGAATAAAATTAATTCATAAAAAGATCAATGTTGTTGGGCACCAAATTCATTTTAAATACAATTGAAACCACCCCCATTTCGTAACCCAAATCCAAAAAACCCACTCTCTCTCTCTCTCTCAATCATTCTCCGCTCCTTTTTAGTTTTTCTTTACTCTTCTCGTCCAATCATCATCACTCTCCTCTCTCTCTCTCTCTCTCTCTCTCTCTCTCTGTCTGCAAACAAATTCCAATTGGGTTTTAGAGAGAGAAAGTGGCAGCAGTGGCAAGAACACTGCTCCTCTCTCTGTGATCGTCTACACGGTGAAGCTCTAGGGTTGGGCTTGCCTTTGTACCTCTTCAGGTGACATCTGTTCTCAATTTTATTGTCGTTTTTTTTTGTTCAGTATTTTGTAAGTTTGATCAAATGGGTTTTGTGGACTTGCATAGTTTTTCGAGTGTAGTAGTTGTATAAGTTATGTAAAATTTTGCTTCTATCATATCTTTATTCCTTTTTAAGTATTTGGTTTTCCTTGAACTTATATAGAATTTGGCCAAACTATATCAATTATTGAGCTTTTTGGTATTTATATGCCTATTGCGCTGAGCAGTTCAGTCCCAAGAAGCAACAAAGAATCAACTGTTCTAACTCCCGACTCTGAGAGCTTGAGAGATTAGACTGATATGCATTTCTAAGATTTTATTTTATCTGTTTGAATCTTATTTGGCGGTTTGAATGCATAGAATAGAAGTATGGGTCTTTGATTCCTGATATATAGCTGTTTAATACTAATGGGTTTAAGCCAGTTGTGATTATATGCAGCTGCAAAGTTTCCCACTTTTTGAAAATGGACACACACCCTCTAAACAATATGCTGTTAATTCATTTCCTAATTCGTAAGTTTATGTATTTCTATGTCCATATTCCTTTGATTTCTTGAATTGGACGCTTTTTTGAGTTGTGTTCCAAGGTGGGGTTTGATGTCTTGCAATTGGAGTTCTTAAGTGGAAGTTGTTTTTCTGGTGCCAATTCTCTAGGCTTCAGGTTTAGAAGTATTTAAATTGGTCAAGTACAGTTCTGCTAAAACTAAATTTGGTTCTCTGTGACTTTGTGTAGCCTTAAGAACTCACTGTTGTGCTCAAAGTATAAGAATGCTCTGAAATTTATGATTGATTTCCTTTTCATTATATAACACCGTGGGATTACTTTGAACTGGATGATGAGTATTGACCAATTGCATCTGTGTGCTCTGTAGTATCTTTAGTAATAATGTATATATATATATATATCTGTGTGTATATCAGATTTTCTAGTACTCTGAGTTGCAGATTGTTTAGTTCTGTTACTTTCGTTACCATCACAGAAGTTAACTCTTGTGCATTGTTAATTTTAAGCAGGACAGGGATGCAATGAATCAGTCTTTCAACTTTTCATCTTCTGGTAACAGTCCAGAATCATATATTGTATTCTGTCCAGACTATATGCAGTTTGTTTTCTGACTGATGTGTCTGTTAACTTGTCTTGTAGGCCCAACCGAGATTCCAATGGTGGGTATCCCCAAAGAAGTGGGTAGAGGAGGTTGGGGCATTTTATCTGGATCTGGTGTCCATCACGCCTCAAGTGATGCTACCCTCTTTTCAAGCTCGTTACCTGTTCTTCCACATCCAAAGTGTATGTGTGAGCTATTGCATTAAGATTTTCAATGCCACATTTAGTAGGGAATGACTCATGTATTTTTGCATTCTTTCAGTGAACTTGAATGATACAGAACATGGCTGTCAATCTATTGATGACCTCTCAACTGGCTTAAATAAGCTGGGCCATAATTTGGAGGGCAATGATACACTTGAAGATATTGAAACTCATGCAATTGGAAGCTTGCTTCCTGGTGACGAGGAGGAGCTATTAGCTGGCATAGCAGATGATCTTGACCTCAGTGGGTTGCCTGGTTCCCTGGAAGACTTGGAAGAGTATGATCTATTTGGTAGTGGAGGTGGCATGGAATTGGAAACTGATCCACAGGAGAGCCTGCGAGTTGGCATGGCAAAAGTAAGTTTATCTGATGTTGCTACTGGGAATGGGATCGCTCATTATGCTCTTCCAAATGGCGTGGGAGCTGTTGCTGGAGAACATCCATATGGAGAGCATCCTTCTAGAACATTATTTGTGCGAAATATCAACAGTAATGTTGAGGATTCAGAACTGAAAGCACTTTTTGAGGTAATTCAAATAAGGCGGAGCTCCTTGTGTTTTATTCCAGTAATACCCATATCCTTTGTTCACTTGTCTGGTATGTCTTTGGTTTCCATAAGTTCTGTGCAAGTTTGTGATATATTACACGTGCTTCCTGAGTAGAACTTGACACTGTTACAATTATCAAGGGTTCTCTTAGATCCTTGCACACCATTTATGAAAATAAAAGAAGTTTGTCAAGCGAGGTTAACATTTTACAAAATTGTTTCATAAAAAGAAACTATACAAACTGTTGTTTGGATTTGTCTACAAAAATTTGAAAAGAATCTATGGGCATATATATTATCTACTGAAATTTAAGGCAACATCAAATGGTCAAAGATGTATTTTGCACTAAAAGTTTCATCTTTAATATTTTATTATCTCATTTAGGCCTTGCTATATGTACAAGACATGAATGCATAACTAGTTATGAAGGTCTGAGGGTCTAGTCAAGATTTTTATTTTATTGGCTGAGCATATATATTTGTTTTCCTTCTTTCACAGGTTCAATGTTATATCATTCATTTATTTATTAATCTATTTTGCAGCAATATGGCGACATTAGAACGCTGTACACTGCATGTAAACATAGGGGCTTTGTGATGATATCTTATTATGATATTCGTTCTGCTCGAACTGCTATGCGCACATTACAAAATAAGCCTCTGCGACGGAGGAAACTTGATATTCACTTCTCAATTCCAAAGGTCAGAACAGCGTTCCAGTTCTTTATTAGTTGTTCATCGACACCCTTTTATATATCTTACAATTTTTGCATTCCTTTTTTCATGCCACACCAGGATAATCCATCAGAGAAAGATATTAATCAAGGAACCTTAGTAGTTTTCAATTTGGATGCATCAGTTTCAAATGAAGACCTCCGTCAAATATTTGGGGCTTATGGCGAGGTCAAAGAGGTGATAATTGTATCTTAAGGGAAAACCCTCCATTTCTTGTTTTGTGTTTAATTATTTACTTATTTTTTAATTTATAAGGTGGTTAACATGTATTTTTCTGGTGTACAAAGCAGATAAGGGAAACACCGCACAAGAGACATCATAAATTTATTGAGTATTATGATGTCAGAGCTGCAGAAGCAGCCCTTAAGTCATTAAATAGGAGCGACATAGCTGGTAAACGAATAAAGCTTGAACCCAGTCGCCCTGGTGGAGCTCGTCGAAAGTGCGTATACAATATAAATACTATGATTTCTAGAGTTTTTGTTTTGGCTACAAGTTATGAACGCTAGAGAGATTAGTGGTTAACCTTCTTCTAATCGGAAGTGAAACTTGTTTATAGACAATTTCTTTTCTCAAGCGCTACAACTAGTTAAATGTTTCACATAAACATTCTTTGGCACATTAATTTCATGTTTTTATTCTGTTATTTTAATAATTAAAATTAAATAATGATGTCGTTCAACTCTAATTATGCTTTGTGATTATTAAAACTTTGGTGTTGTCTGTTTTCGGTATTGTGCTTGAACCAAGTGTTGGTGTCTGTTATTGATTGTATTGTGCACTGTGTACCTTCTAGCTTGATATTGCAACTGAATCAAGACCTCGAACAAGATGAATCTCGGAGTTATCGACATCCTGTGGGTTCGCCGATAAGCAACTCTCCACCAGGTAACTTCTTCTTTGAGATAATTTATATCGCTTTGAACATATAATGCCTTAATCAAGACAACATTTTTTTATAATGCATTTTTCTTACAAAATGAGGTAAATGCAATATTCTTGACAGGTAGCTGGGCACAGTTCAACCCCATTGAACATAGTCCTGTACACAGTATTAGTAAATCTCCTGGTTTCAGGACCCTGAGTCCAACAAATAGCAACCATTTGCCTGGATTGGCGTCAATTCTGCATCCCCAAATACCAAACAATGTGAAGGTTGCACCTATCGGCAATAACCAAGGAAGGGGGAGTCATGTGGATCATATATTTACCAATACAAACTCATCCCAGGGATCTGCATTTGAACAATCACATTCATTTCCAGAGCCAAATTCAAGCCATTTCCATGGCAGTATGCACTCATTTGGTCCTTCAACCTCAAGTGGATCTGGTATGGAAACGTTATCAGGCCCACAATTTCTTTGGGGGAGTCCAACTCCTTACTCAGAACACACCAATTCTTCAGCTTGGCCGCTACAGTCCGTGGGACATCAACTTACATCTAATGGGAAGGGTCATGCCTTTCCATTCTCAGGTCATCGTGGCTCTTTCCTTAGCCCTTCCCATCACCACCATCATGTTGGATCCGCCCCATCTGGTGTTCCGTTAGACAGGCACTTCAATTACTTCCCTGAGTCACCAGAAACTTCATTTTTGAGTTCCACTGCCTATGGAGGCATGGGTTTGGGCCCCAACGGTGGAAATTTTATGATTAATATGAGTGCTCGTGCTGCTAGGAATGTTGGTGTATCTATACCAGGAAACATGTCTGAAAGTAATTCCTCAAGCTTTAAAATGATGGCCTCACCGAAGCTTAGCCCTGTGTTTTTAGGTAATGGCCCATACACAGGACTGCCACCTACAAGCATAGATGGTTTAATTGAGCGTGGGCGGAGCAGACGCGTTGAGAATAATGGGAGCCAGATTGATAGCAAGAAACAGTTTCAGCTTGATTTAGATAAGATTATCAGTGGGGACGATACTAGAACAACATTAATGATAAAAAATATTCCAAATAAGTAAGACTGACTTTTATAGTTCTGTCATATATTTATTACATTTGATGGCCATTATCATGATTTCATATTTTTTCTGTCCATTAGATACACCTCAAAAATGTTACTTGCTGCAATAGATGAAAATCACAAGGGTACTTTTGATTTTCTCTATCTGCCGATTGATTTTAAGGTAATTTAGGTTTCTTTAAGAGTATGTCTTGACACTTTCTTCTTCAATAATTTTTTTTCTTTTTCTTTTTCCCTACAAGTCTTCCTTGATTGATATTCCTCTTCTGTGCAGAACAAATGCAATGTGGGCTATGCATTTATCAATATGCTGTCTCCTTCACACATCATCCCATTTTATGAGGTGCTTTCCTTCTTTTGTAGGATTTTATGTTAATTCTTCGGGTTATTTCTACATCATTGTCTTCGTTGTATTGTGAGATGTGTTCTGCCAATTTGAGCTTTCTCGTTTTACCCTTTCAAAAAATAGTTTTAGGCTTTAGCTTATTAGCGGCTGACATGGTACTGGCATGCTATAAAGGAAATGGGATATGTTATTGATAAACACTTATTTCCATTATAATACAGGCATTCAATGGAAAGAAGTGGGAGAAGTTCAATAGTGAAAAAGTTGCCTCCTTGGCTTATGCTCGTATCCAGGGGAAGGCAGCTCTTGTGGCCCACTTTCAAAATTCAAGCCTAATGAATGAAGACAAACGTTGTCGCCCGATTCTCTTTCACTCAGAGGGTTCTGAGGCTGGTGATCAGGTAGTACAATAAACACTACAAAAAGCCATTGCTTTTTTAAACTTCTAACATGCTTGCACTTCCTTGATGTTTTGCTTTATGGAACTAGCTTAATTGTATGCATTGATGTTTCACACGCACAAATGGAATGTTTGATATGATCTTGTGCGTTTCTTCTATATAGATTATCCAAGAACATCTTCCTTCCAATAATATGAACATCCATGTCGGTCAGCGAAACGAGTCGGACTCTGATTCATCAGGAAGCCTAGAGTGTGGCTCTGATGAGAAGCCAGATAAGAGTTAATAGTGTATTTGAAGCAGATGCCCTCGGCCCTATTTGGCCGTGGCCGTGGCTTCTAACCATCATACATATTATCAAGTATATAAACGTAGGAGTCGGAGAAGGATGCATGCAGATTGTATTCTAGTTCCTTTTGGTAGTATTTTCTAGGGAGTTTTACAAGAAACAGTAGTAGGAATTTGTTTCCTCTGCAGTTAACAGTCTGATATGGGCCGGATAAGGGAACGCATTTCGGCGAATTCAATTCTCTCAGCAGCCAGATGCGTTTGTCACCAGTTGTGTAGGTTTCTTATTTTTGGGCGCATTTTTGTTGCGTGACTTGGGGTGTGGATAACGTAGTCTGCAAATATGATGTTGATATGGGTATATGGGTCAATGTGTTTTGAGCGAGGGTTGGTGATTTAACATTGGGTACAAAATTGTACAGTTGAGGACAGAAATGCTTCTTTTCGGCATAATTATTTGTTGGGGTTCTTGCAATGGAAAATTCAAATGTGTATTTGAGATGTGACATTGCCCGGATAATGGTTTCCATCTTATACATTTTGAATTCTTCAAACACATTCAAATGTGAATTTACGGATTGATATCCGAAGAATGAAAGGGTAGACAATTACTCTCATGTTGCAAAAATGAGACAATAGCATCACTCGTTTTAAAATTCCAGTTGAATCCAAAATTCGGTATTCAAGATTGATTGCTTGATTAAAATGATTCATAATGAAGCCAACATAAAATGATTCATAACGTGTCATAGTGTTATCTGATTATTATTATTATTATTACTATTATTTTGCTTAGAATACCTTGCAGAGAATTTGCATTGCAATGATGCAAAATGAATACCATCACAGGAGGGCTTCCAATAAATAAACACCCTGCATTGATTGAGGGGCTGGAATGATAAAAGATTTTATATATATATATATCATAACCTCAAGATTGCATTTATACACAAGATAACCTACCTCGGCCAGTAAATCTAATGTGTTGGTCCCGCAGCCCTATTTCATACACATGATATTTTTATTTTTACTTTATTTTAAACAAAGTTGGTATAGTACAAAGAAAAAGAGCTGGAGTAATAGAACCTGCACATGAGGAAGGATTTTTGCTAGGCAAACCATATAAAATGGAAGCTGAGTAAAGCTGTGGTAAATACTACGGTTGACCGTATTTTTAGGCCAAGATAGAAGAAGGTTCAGACAGCCTTGATGATGCCCTAAATATCAAGAGACTCAACAAACAGAGATCCTGATGAAACTTAAGTCGTGCTCATATCGGCCTGTGGCACTGAAACCCTCTGCCTTTCTTTCCTGGTTTTAAGTTCAAGGTCAATGAGGAAGTAACATTTGTCATGCTCTCTAACATACTGAACCTGACCATTCATTCTATTCAGAAGTTTCCTGGACAGATTTAGGCCAAGCCCTTCCTGCGTAGTCCATTGATTTCCTCCCTCGAACATATCTTGGATAAGCGCAGCAGGAAGGCCTTGACCGGGGTGAGTCATTCTGCATGCACAAGAAGATAAGGACAAGTAAGTTTTATGTTAAATTTATTAGCCGTGCAATGTCAAAATCTGAACCTAGAAATGGTTGAGGTACCTGAACTGTAAACGGATACAATTGTTGCCGTCCTGTATTAACTTTAGACCAGGTAAAATTTTAATTTCAACCCAGCCATCTGGGGAAGGTGCATGATTCACTGCATTGAGCAAGAAATCTGACAAGACCAACTGCAGCCTGATTTGATCCCCATACAAAGATAGTGATTTAACTTCTTCTGGAATCTCATGAAAAAGCTGCAGATTCTTTTCCCTCAGTGAGATCATTGATTGACTAACAATGGCATCCAAAATGTTTCCCAATACAAATTCTCCCATGTTCAGCTTCACGCTACTGCTATAACCAGGATAAGATGTGAGGCTTATTCTCGCACAAGTTCATCAGCACACTAAAAAGACTAATGTCGTTTATGTATTAAGTGCTTTCTTATTGTGTAATTATTTCATGATGATTTCAAAAAAACAAAGAACTAAATATGTTGCGAAAAGATAAGATTATTACTATTTTTTATAAGAAAATACCCCCAAAGATAATGACACCAAGAATTAGGAAAAACATTAGAGCTTAAACCAGTTGATTTGAAAAGTTCTGATTCGGGATTTTATATAATTTACTATGCACATAGTGAAAGAAAAGAACCTATACACTACAAATAGATTTAAAAGAGTTAGCTTACGCACATCATGAACCAATTAATAAGAATACTCACCCTTCCTCTATGCTTCTCATATTCATATCCTCGATGATTGTCATGATTTGTCTTTCACATGCATCACTAGTGTCAAGAAATTGCTTCTGATATTCTGAAATAGTTGTATTTTGAAGTAGTCTGTGCGTAAACCGAATACCATTTAAAGGATTTTTCATCTCTTGTCGTATGTATGTTAATTCCTTTAGTTTTGAAAAGCCTTCTCTACCCTCTTGTTTGTGTTTTTCCAAGGGCTGCTGCAGGTCAGGCAAAAATATTTGCAAGAAGCAGAAACAACCAATTATATTTCCACCTGCATCAGTCCTCTTGCTTGCTGTTAAGATCACCTCAACAAAGTTCCCTTTTCTATCAAAAAACCCAAGTGGAAACTTCTCAATATCTTGACCACTGATTCCTTGGTATAATATAATCATAAATTTAGTCAATGTATCTTGACCTTTCAGCCGACAGAAACCTCCAAAGATTTCCCCAGGAAGCATTTTACCAATAACGTCATCTCTTGTCCAACCAGTAAGCTTTTCCATGGCCGCATTCCATTCAGAGCAGCAGGCATTCTCATCAGATGCAAAGATGGGTGGAATCAATGGGTTAAGACTCTGTATAATAGCCTTATAATCGCCTTGCAAACGGATGAATTTATCCATAACAACTTTTTCACAAGTAATATCTTGACCCACAAAGCATACACCAACAACATTCTTTGCATGATTCCTACTTGTGCAAGTGTTGGCTACAACATAGACAACCGAGTTATGCTGAGAGTGCCCAAAATTTCTCAGTTTTAACTCAATATTCTTGTCCTCCTCACCTGGATAGGATAGAAGTTAACATCGGCTACTGTTTGGAAAATTAAGATTATAATTAAAGAGGCAAAGTAGGACGAAAACTAGAATTTCAAAAATAAATTCCATACAAAAGTCTAAGTCCCTCAACTTCCTATGTATCATTCCATATATTTGCTAAAGCAGCTGATAAGTGAAGAAGAAATCTTACTTAAAGTATGAATCATCACTCAAAGAATAAAAAAAGGAAAAAGTTTCTTGTGTCCCACAAAATAATAAGAACGCAGATATGTAATGGACCCTATTCATCAAAAAGCCCTTGAAACATATTTTATCATGTCAGCTTCTTATCTATAGGACAGCCTACTTCAGGCCCTGCTAAAGGAGTATTTAAAATGTTAAGATAAAAATGCAAAGATTGGATATTTTGAAAAATTGACAGGATAAAAGAAACTTAAACATGGCTGTCTTCACTAGTTGAAGATGTTTCTTTGAAGAACAACTGTTATACTAATAAGAAAAGTCATCAAGCTCTACTCTGGGGCCCTTAAGGGATAAAGGGAAGAAGGCCAAGAAGTATGGACCACATATGCAAGAGATGATAAGGCGGCCCAGTAAGGCAGTTACAGTTAAGAGAGGACAAATGTGTTGGTGCAACCACACAGTATAATTAGCAAAGTTCAAGAAGACGAGCCAAAAGAACTGAACCTGTGAAGCAATGATTGACAACAGAAGCAGTATAGAAGTTAGTAAGCTATTTGCATAGTACTTGGTAACTTATAAGCATGCATAAGCATGGAATGTAGTGTCTATGACATTTGAGTACTTTAAAATCCTCAAACACAGTACATTATAAATGCAAGAAAAAATTTACCTTGTAAGGCTCTGCATAAAAGATCTTCAACAGCTCCCCGTGAGTCCTCACATACAATTTCATTAGCTAGGGACTTCCCCATAGCTTCGCTATCTTGTAATCCTGTCAATTCGGCCATCTTTGTATTCCATCCATTGATGAGACCAGCTGAATCAACCCCAAAAATCGGAACTGAAGCTGTCTCAATCAATTTAACCATTTCACATGCCACAGAACTGAGTTCATCCATCCCCTGAGGCTGCATTTCAGTATCACTCTGATGAGGATTGTTTATTGCCTTAGAAACACTTTCTTCCAAATCCTGAAACGAGTCTCTCATTATGAGCTGTAAAGAGTGGATGGCATTAATTTCAGAGACCTCCCAAGGCAAACTTCTACTTTTTACTACTTCAAGAAAAGCTTTAAATGATGATCTTGGGTGCATCCTTCCACCGTCATCCTTATCCTCTGGATGATGCTTAGCTCCTCCCCATTTGACTTCCTCTGCAGTGTGAGACCTGAACCAAAACAAGAAATCCTTTGAACTGGCCCTTGCAGTAGCCATACCACAGACTGCATCACCCAGTAAAGGTGCACCAGGGTAACCAGCTTCTGCCAAACTATCAGTGCTCAGACCTGTGGAATCCCCATGATTACTTAGCAGCCACTCTGCTATATCTTTAACCTGTGATTCAGTTGGAGTTACACCTAACAACCAACATGTCCCGCCATAATACAATGCAGCCCCATCACACTTAACGAGATCCATTATACTAGGAGATTGGGTCACAATACCTGATGGGGCATCCCGGAGGAGCATGTCACAAAGCAAGGTTTGTGTTCTGAGAACCTTTTTTTCAGCCAACTGTGCTGCCAATTGAAGCTCCATGTACAGCTGCAGCCCAAATGCCTGCATAAGAAACTCACAAGCATAGCGAAGAGGGAAAGGGACATAGCGGGGTGAAGTGTGGTGGCACACTACCAACCCCCAAAGCTTCGTCGATTCATTACCATTGATAATAACTGCCATCACCAATGAGGCAATGGATCCCATGTTGGCCATGTACTGTCTGTGGCAGCCATGTGGTGACCGGAGGGTTGAATTGACCAAGCACAGAGGCTGCTTTAGTTCCTCACTTTGAATGATTTTAACTGGATTTGCATTGCAATCACAAATCATGCGTACACGATTCTGCTTGAACAAGAAACGGGCAGCTTGAGGGATATCTGTGGCAGGATAATGTAAACCCAAATAGGATTCTAAATCCACCCTTCTGATTTCAGACACAACTTCACCATGATCATCCTCATGGAACTTGTAAACCATAACTCTGTCATATCCAGTAAGCTTCTGAACATCTTCCACAACTGTATCACATAACACACCAATATCTCCTCCAGGGAGAGACTGAAGCCTAGAAATTGCCCGAACCGCAAGTTTCTGTGACTGCACAGCGCCTGCAAGCGACAATGCGGGATCACTAGACTTAGCAGGCTCCAAATCAATCACAATTCCCACATCAATTCTATGCAATATAGCATAAAATGGCTTCTGGGTACTCCTAGAATAAACCCAAATTGGGTTTAACAATGATATATCCCTGGACGCAGCAGCTTTGGCTAGTGAAGCCCCGGAAGAAGGTGTAAACAGGGTTCTAGAATCAATTCCAATTAGACCCTTTAATTGTTTTGACTCAAAGAGACTATCCAAACCCAACAACTCAAAGCAATTCTCACTATAACCGATAATTCTAAAAGTGGGTTCTTCAATTGCAAGCATACAACCAAAGGATTGAACAAGAGCACCCCTTTGGATTCTCGAGAAATAGGCACTTATTTGCTCTTCAGGTACAGATTCTGGAGGATAAAGCACTGATCTTGAATAGTTAAAGGACTTACCAGACGCAGTAGACTGCTCATACTCAGCTAAAATGCCAGCATCTGCATTGTACTGAGCAATTGACTTGTCTCTTTTGGCGGTGCCGCTAGTGGTAGTGTTGTTTTTGTTAGGCCTCATGTTGCTGGTAGCTGAGGATGAGAATGTGGCGGTGCCTCTCTCTCTGCTTTCGAGCTCCATATAGAGGGCTTTGGCTTTGGCTTTGGGTTGTGGGTTTTTCTCAGAAACTCTTGTGGGTACTGGAAAAGCTGGAGCTTTATCATTTCTGTACTTGCTACTTCTGTTGGTTGGTACTTCTTCTTGTAGCTTACACTTACACACGTCTCTTTCATCGTTTTCGCAGTTTTGGGTTTATTTCCTGCTAATAAGCGTGTTTAATTATCGCTTCCTAATCATATTTGTTTTGGCTGATGCGTCCCCTTCTGTCCTTGGCGCACCTTGTCCTTTCTATTCTGTCTCTGTTTCTCTCTCTCCCCATTTTCTTGTTCCTGCATTTTCCTCCATGCAAATTGCTCAACGCGTCACCACAAAATCAAACCTTTAGAATAAATAAAAACCGAAAAAAAAATTTCAAAAAAAGGAAAATCGAAAAGAAGAGAGAGAGAGGTTGAAGTATAGAAAGGAAGAGACCTTTACATGTGTGGTTATCTTTTTACAAAGCCCAATAGAAGAAAAATATGAACAATGAGAGGGAGATCTTTGATTCTTGGGAACAGTAGAAATATAAAGCAAAAAAAGGCTCACTCTAGTATTTAGTATTCACCACAAATATATATTTGATTTTTTGTCTTTTTTTTGTACGAAATATTTGTTGTTTTTGTCTATGGACCGCTTCTGCCAATACCTCCAAACATGTCATTTCAAGCTACTTTTAAACACTCATAATTATTAAAAGACTGAAGCAAAGCAGTCAGGTCAGTTGCAAAGCATAAGCCTTTTTACCAGCTTCTTAGAAAGCACTAATCTTGAGCTCTACACGGTTTGCCTTGTTTTTTGGCAAGTGTTTTGGGAACAACATAATCAAACCTTGGAACCCTCGATCCAATGGATCCTAAGACATGATTTGAACAGCAAAATCAACATGCTACCAACATGATATGTTTTATAGCAGGACCTTTCCCTCCTCGTTATGCTTTGTTCTCTGTTTGGTTTCCTCCACATAAAATGGCTTCCCTTTCATTTTGTTTTGTTTTTTTCAGCAAGGACCTTGCCTAGGTGGATGAATTGCTCATCACGTCTTGTACCTATCATCATTGAACCAATTGCTGAGGATGCCAACCTCAAGGACTGCCGAGTCCTGACTTTCTTTCTTTTTTCTCTTTTTTGTTTTTGTTTTTGTTTTTGTTTTGTCTGATTGCTTTTTTGTTTCGAATTGTTTGGCAAGGTTTTTTTGGATAATGTTTTGACAAGTTTTCATTTAACAACACGTTCGAAAGCCCACCAGAGCCATGGGCTTTTAATAAACATGGCCAAGTAATTTGGTCTCCGGAATAGACCAATATAGGAAAAATTATGGCCTCCCACATAACAGGATGTTACACCCAAGCTTGTGCTCGTTCGGTAACGTTTATTCCCACCCTCTCCCGCCAATATAATGACATGATTCTATTTATTTTTCTCATTGTTGATGAATATGAGATTTCGAATTTAGAACCTCTTTTAATTTTACATTAAGAAGTTGTTTATATTATATATGACTGGCCAATTTTTCTGCAACACATTGAATATGGGACCTACAAAGAGACCCGTAGAGTATAGTGAAAACATTGAAGCCCATAAAACAACCATCGACATGGGTGAGCCTAGGGGTCATTATTCGGTCCGCGGGCCGAAGTGTTCCCGAGGCTCGATGGGCCAAAGCCTGATTTGATGGTTAGGTCCACTCGGTTCGGCCTGCTCTAAGGTTGGGTAGAACTTGGGTTTAGGTTTCGAAACCTTTCGCCAAACAAGGTCCGTCCATGGCCCAGCCTCGGCCTGAATAAGCCCGCTCATTGCCTTGTTGTTTTTTGTTTCCCCTTATGTTGCCTTATTTTCATTCTAAACATTTAAGTTATTTTTATATTACTTCATTTACTTAAGTTTACAATGTAAATAAGGAAGTACCCCCTATTTGGATTTTAAAAAAAAAAAAAAAAAAACTAGAAAATCAAATTCCCAACAAATCAAAATATGAAAATCCAGTTTTAGTATAAGATACTGTTTATACCAATCAAAATATGAAAATCAATGTATATTTTATACTAAAATCTCATAAAATCGTGTTTGATTATTTAAGTTGTAAGGAATATAAACCGCCAAAAATATAATTGAAAATATTAGTATTTCAAAAGTCTATTTTTTATACTTAGTCAAATTTTGAGATAAAACAATTTTTAAAGTATGATATGTAGTATTCTATATTATTTTTTAAGAGTTATGTAAGGCTAACATAATTCTAACATTATTTTTGTACCTTAAGGTTGTAAAGTGCAACTGATTGATAAGTTTGTTAGTGCCAACCTAGTTAAGATATGCATATATTTAGTTGTGTCCTATTCTATATTATTGTTTAAGAGTTATGTAAGGCTAACATAATTCTAACATTATTTTTGTACCTTAAGGTTGTAAAGTGCAACTAATTGATAAGTTTGTAAGTGCCAATCTAGTTGAGATATGCATATATTTAGTTGTGTCAACCTAGATTACTACATGTCATATTTGAAAAACTATTTTCTATCAAAATCTAATTAAGTGTGAAAAATGGACTTCTGAAATATTAATGTTTTCGATGATATTTTTGTGGTATATATTCCTTACAACTTAAATAATCAAACATGATTTAATGAGAGTTTAGTATAAAGTATACATTGACTTATTGAGGTATCAATATTGGTATAAACAGTATCTTATACCAAAACTAGATTTTCACATTTTGATTTGTTGGGAATTTTATTTTTTAGTATTTTTTATTGAATCCAAATATGGGTACTTCCTTATTTACATTGTAAACTTAAGTAAATGAAGTAACATATAAATAAATTAAAGTAAAAAGACAAGACAAGACATTTATTTAAATGTTTAGAATGGAAATAAGGCAAACAAAAAAGGTAATGGGTGGCCCATAGGTGGCTTGCCCCGGCCCAGCCGAAAATCCCACTTAAGCCTGACCTTATGGGCAGGCTCGGGCCGATCCCTTTCAAACCTCAGCTCGACATGATGACGAACCCTAGGTGAGCCTTCGACAACCTAAACTGCCGATCCATGTGAAAAATGCGTCTATTGAACTAGGCTGGACAAAGGATATGTGGTAGCCTCTCAGGTAATGTCCACAGTCCCACATTGAAATATCACTCAATGCACATCTCCCAAGGTTTATAAATAGGGGTACAAGTCCCCAAAATGAGGTAACAGTTATATTCAGCTACTTAGCCCTTACTTTGTCCAAATTACTATTCACTCTGTCATTAAGTTAACTTAAGCATCGGAAAACCTTCGGCTGGTACCACACCGGTGCCGAAGATCTTACCATTGCTCTTTGTCTTACAAATCATCAACATTTGTCAAAGAGCCCAAGAGGCCGAAAGTGACACATCATCTCTAAGTTGAGCCCAAAAGCGATCATCCATTTTTTAGCATCAACAAAAGTACTACAATAGTGCAATTGTAGGTTAGGTTAGTTGATCATAATAACATGTTCGCCCTCTTGCACCCGTGTTCAAAATCCCCTCTTCATAAATTAGGCTAATTTAGAATATCGCTTTGCCCCAAAAAATTAAAGGAAGTACTACTAAATTAAAAGAAAATTGATGAGATTTAGGTGATATATGTATAATATTATAGTTTCTTTAATTGAATGCATGAATGTGTAATTATGAAATGATACCTACGATCATGTATGGTCATGGTAGTACGTAATGGCGTTTTTGACGTCATTGCGAATTCGACTTATAAAATACACTTATGAATGAGTGGCTAATATAATTTTTTTTATAGATTTTTGTAAAAAAAGTGTTAAATATCTTAATTTTATGTTCTTTTATATTTATGAAATATGATATAAATAAGACATTAGGTTTATTTTGCCTGCTTTGACGAAGAGGTACACGCGCTAAGAAAGAGGGTGGTCAGGAGTCTTGCCTAGCACAACACAACTCCCTGTGTTTCGGCGAAAGTGCACGTGTCAACGCGTCATGGTGAGCTGGTTCTACAGCTGACGTGGCAGAGTTCTATTTGCTGAAATCAGTTAGCGAAGATCCCATCAGAGCCGTCGGTATGATCCAAGAGAAGCCGACATATTACCTCTGTCTGACCGTTAAGAGAGAGAAGAACAGAGTCTTAGAGAGAGAGAGAGAGAGAGAGAGAGTGCAAGAGCGAGCGAGAGAGAGAAAGAGAGGTATTTTCTCTTCAATTTTTCACCTTTTTTTTATTTATACTGTTAATTTTTATCAATTTAGTTTAGCTAATTACAGCTTCATGGTCCTGTTGCTGGAAATTCATTGTTTCTTGGGTTCGTTTTCTTTCTTGCTTTCTTTCTCCCTCTCTTTCAAGTGTGTGAATTTGGTAATTGAACTGTGTAGTCAATGGAGCTTCTTGTTTAGGGTTTTAAGTTCATGTTTAGGTTTTGATTATTCTGCCTCTGAGAAATGCTTATGCGATTTGTGCGTAGTTCTTTGGTCAATGGGGTTTAAGAACCTTGGTGATATTTTGGTATGAGTCACTTGGTTGGTTGACTTTATCTTTAACGTTTACTTGGAAATTTTGGAGCTTTGGAATAGGGGTTTTGAATTTTGTGCCTTGTTAAGAAACGATTATGTTTTTTTTAAGGCTTTCAATCATTTTAAGGTTTTGGAAATGTTTCTTAAAGAATAGTTTATGCACTTCTACTATGTTTTTTTATTAGGATTTTTCAATCTTTATTCTTGATTAGATGCTGACGAGATAGTATAGTAAAATTTTAAGGTCAAAGGCCCTATTTTTCAGTATTTGATTCCAATTATCATGTTTGGATACCCTAGTCATATCCTGTTTCACAAACTCATAAACATGTTAAACACAATAATTTTGACTTCGTGATGGTGATTGAAGCAGTGGGGTGCTAAGGATGCAGTGGCGGTGTTGTGGTGGCTGGAGCATGGCATGAGATCTTTCAGGTTAGTAAGGGAATTTAAACAACCTTGTTTGCCTGGTTAGCTATGTGTTTTAGTGCTGAATTTTACTCTCTTTTTTTTCTTTCCTAAAACAGATACATTAGAAACAGTTTGATACAGTTTTGGGAAGACTTTAAAAGACGTGGAGTTTAGATTGCTAATCATCATTATTATGAATCTTTGATTAGATACCGAGACAGACATACGTGGATCTCACTACCAAACTGTATGTTGCTTAATATCTCTGCTGCGTGGTTCCCATTGTTTCTATCAGTTTCTTTAGATTGGTATCATTTACTTTCTTCTTATCTTAATTATTTCTCTGAGACAGACTCAAGATTGTGGTTCGCATCACAAGTACAGATCAAATGCCATCTTTCAAAATGAAGGCTCAATCAAGCACGGGATGTTTACGAGAAAAAAACGGTCTTCGTGTATGTCAAAAGTCAAGTGTGATTACCAAGAAAGCATGTTCTCATTTTAGGAAATCTGAACATACAGCGGATCTTGACACTTGTAACAATTGTCAGGAAGGTGAGAAACCAAACATAAAGAAGTTGATGTTCGATCTATCATATAGTGTTATAGTAAAGACTGTATAATTTATCTTTGTATTGAAGTGATCAAAGTTTGTATTAATTTTTCCATGCATTTTGAGCTCTCTGGCTTTCTAATTTTGTAATGGAGGCTTTTAATTTTTCGTAAAGTGCTTAATTTAAATGCTTCTTATGAATCTACATTGAGCGTGCAATGCAAGTTTCAACGAAGGACATTGATTCAGTCCATGCACAATTATCTGCGTCCAAAGTTTTTTTTGCAATTGTTAATGTTAGAGCTTCTTATATTCTCATAGTTTCTTCGAGCATGGATGTTTCTATTAAGGAAATTGGACGTGATGAAGCAATTGACCATCAGGAATTGCTGGATGAACAAGATTGTAAGCAATCATGCGATTCTGAAACCAAAAGGATGGTAAGTGTTTAATTTCCAAGGTTGTGGACACCAATTTATTGCCTTACTAGTGCATTGCCCTTTGGTTTTGAAAATGATTCTTGCTCAAAGTTTTCTTGAATTGCACCATGTGGCTATTAAGATTTCTTATAAGGTTGTATAATTTTCAGGAGTCCTCTCACACCTGCCCATCAAATTTAGAGACAATTTTCTCTCCTGCTTTGGAGTCTAGTGAATCCCATGGCGAACCAAATAGTGAACCAACTGACATTGATGCAGGTATGCCTCAAACTTTGTTAATTAAACACATAGAGATCAATCTGATATAATTAAAAAGGAAGAAATAACTTAGGTATGTGCCAGCCCTGAACTCTGTGTAAATGCTATTCTAAAACATTATTTAGTATGTGTAGGTTATTTCAACAAAATTTTACCACTTTCCAGTGGTAATTTGTAACATGTTTTTATATAATAAAAAATTCAAATCTACCTACTGTGTCATGTAATGTAATGTTACCAATGCTAATATCTAGTATGCTAATCTGATCCTGAATTTTCAGGGTTAGGAGCTGGTGACAGTGATGATAACAGAAGTTCATGTGATAATCAAACTTGCGATGTCTCAGATTTCTACATTTCTGACATGATCATTTCGAGCTTACCCTTCAACGAGAATGCATTTGATGTTGACATTGGTGAAATGAATTGCTTTCCAGACTACAAATGTGCTGAACCAAATATGTTCTTTGATGCGTCTGAGCAATACATGGTATTGCCTTTCCTAGAGGACACTATCAGAAGCAGTAATATTAATACTGATGTTGACAAATCATGTGAAGAAGCCATCGTAGATACAGATTGTGCTGGAATGTATTTGGAAATGGGTCAAATGAGCCCCTGCAACCAGGAAACTGTTGTTAATTCTTCTGACTCAGATCAGGCGGAGTCCTTTGATCCACAGTTGTTTATTAAAAACTTACCCGAATTATCAGATGTGGTATCAAATTATCAACCCAACATATTGCCTGAGGATGCTCCAAAAAGAAAGTCTGTAACTCTTGTACTTGATTTGGATGGTAAGTAATGTTATATGTCTGTGTTCTCATATGATTATGTGTTTATCATCATTTAATGTTATTTCTCACATACTTTTGGGACTGTAGGTACTTTTTTACTAGTTTTGGAACCTTGTTAATGTTATTTTAAATGATGAATTAGGAATTTATAATGAATTTCATTTAATTTTCTCAACAAGTTAATCAAACGTCATTGAGCTGTGCTATTGGTAGAGGACGCTGTCCTAAAGTCTACATGAATATGGTATATTAACAAAATGCCTAAAACTCAAATTTGAAATCCATAATGTTGAAAATAATTTTTTTTGCAGAAGTCTTTGTTACCTGTTTCCGGTGTCAGTGAAACATTTAGTTTGAAGTGTTGGCATCTCCCATCTCACTTTCTCTCTTAACAAAAAAAAATTATACAGTCTTGTGGGTGTTTGCTCATAACAAAATGCAACCCAGTTTATTTTTGAAAAATTTCAGTTGATTTTAACTCAGTCTGGCTACTATAACAGTGTATTAAAGACTGAGCCACATATTTTAGTTGTTTGACATTCGTCCGGCGAGCCGTCAATGTGTTGAAAGTTGTGGAAGCAATTTGTAGTGCTTAAATAGGACATGTGAATTGATTGCGATAATATCATCAATGCAGGCTATGTATGTGCAGATGCACACCACAGAGACCATATGGCTTCTCTCTAGCCCACAAATCAATTATTTTTTCCATTTTATACACGTAAACACGTTCATATGTACAAATATATTTGTCTGTGTGGGCATGCATGAGTGTGCGCACTCGTGCATGCTCACATTAATACATTGATATGTGTAGACATAAATACGTGTGTATTGACAGCATTTAGGCTTAGGATATGGTACACCAAGCCACTAAGAATGTTGGTTTTCCATTTTTTCATTTGTTTATTTGGTTAATTTTTGTATGAAGGGTGGTAGTGGTTCTTCGGGGAAAATATTTAATGAGTCATAAACAATATTTTCAAATGTGATATAAATGAATAGGGAACAATTATGGACCACCATACCAATTATGCCCTTGATGTGGTTATGTCAACTAGGGGTCCATAAATCCGATCTTCTGTTTAGATGTTATTCAGTTTAATCTTACTGTGAATTTGTTTTTTCCAGAGTTTCAGTTGAGAAATATATATTGAAGTATATGTTACTGATACGTAGTAATGCTGCTATTATATGTGCAGAAACACTGGTTCATTCTACATTGGATCATCTTGATGATGCAGACTTCACATTTACCGTCTTTTTCAACATGAAAGAGCACACGGTATATGTGAAACAGAGGCCTTACCTCCAAACATTCTTGGAGAAAGTTGCAGAAATGTTTGAAGTTGTTATTTTTACTGCCAGCCAAAGCATATATGCAGAGCAACTTCTTGATATATTGGATCCATATGCAAAGCTTATATCTCGCAGAGTTTATCGTGAATCATGCATTTTCTCAGATGGCAGTTACACTAAAGATTTGACAGTTTTAGGTGTTGATCTTGCAAAAGTTGCCATAATTGATAATACTCCACAGGTACATACCCTGGCCATTTGTGTTAACTGCTTGGACCTTTATTTCTTAATTTTTAGGATTTTCTTTTCAATTTCCATTTGTCCTGTTTTTTGCATTGCCACTTTATGGGTTGCCCTATTGCTTGAGAACTCGAACTTTCTTTCAGATCTCTTGATGCTGGCAGTTGTAGTGGCTACTAATAAAAATTGGTTTCACTCCTGGCGAAATTAAAAGCTAAGGCAAAGAGAAAAAAAGTGGAAAGAAATGAACCTTGTTATTACTCAGAACTGACTGTTTTTCTCTTATCCACTTTTTGTCATTTCAGGTTTTCCGATTGCAAGTTAATAATGGAATTCCTATAAAGAGTTGGTTTGATGATCCGTCCGATAGTGCTCTGATTTCATTACTTCCCTTCTTAGAGACCCTGGTTAATGCTGATGATGTTCGTCCAATAATTGCCAAGAGATTCGGTAACAAGGAATAAGAGTCACTTGTCTTTCTCATTTGCTTGAATATAGAAGCTCCTTGTCCCTCTCATACCTTTTTTTAAAATAGAAAATATTGGCCTCTAATCTTGATGCTCCCTGTTCTTTTCTTTTGAGCTCATGAGATAATTAGCTATACAATAAACTCTTTCTTATTGTCAGTCAGCTCTTGGTTCTTGTTCCCTTGTTTTCTTCCTTTCAGCTTACAACACTGTGGAATGGGTTGTCTAATTTTTGTTCAAAGGTAATTGTAGAGAAAGTATGATTTATCCTTATTGTACAGTTTAAGTTGCTTTTATATCAGGGTGTACACATGAGAAATTAGCTATAAAATATTGGCCTTTAATCAAGATGCTCTTCTTTCTCTTCATTTGAGCTCATTAGGTAATTAATTATGCAATTCAATCTTCTTTTCTTTATTGTCTGCCAGCTCTTCGTTCTTGTTTCCTTATTTTCTTCCTTTCAGCTGACAACACTTGAGGGCAGTTTGTCTAGTTTTTTGTTCGGAGGTAACTGTATGGAATGTCAATTTATCCTTTTTTGCAATTTCAAGTTGCTTTCTATATTAGAGTGTGCGCATGAAAAACTAATAAATTCTGAAATACAATTCTTGAAAGCGTTGCCTTTTACTGAGTTTGGCCTCATTACAGCCACATGTTTTGATACATTGTCTTTTATTAAAAAATATTCACAATACAATTACGCTAGCACTAGGGACCCAATCTAGTCAATATTGTCATAGGCTTTTATGGTTTATTAAAAGATTATGTTTCATAGGAAGAATAATTAATAGCTTATGGCAAAATTTGGAATTGGAAGCCTCTGTAGTAAGATTTACTCTTTCCTTGAGGGATTTATGCCAAAAAGTACATAGTGGGTACACAAAGAGGAGTCTGGCATATTGAGTGTGCTAGATAGTGAATAAAGTCAGGTGGCTTATAAAAGAGAATCTCTTAAAAGATGAATTAAGTTGAATGTACAATTATGAATGCCTTTCTACCCAACTTTTTGACATCTTCATAGACGTCTACCAGTAAGGAAATCTTCAAACAGCTGAATCCTAAGTATTTTCAGAAATTCAAATGATAGTTATGGAAGTAATAATTACTGTAACAGCTCAAAGTTTAGCTTGTGATACTGCATATCTTTAGTAAATAAATGATTACCATTCATAAAAAATTATTATTGAAGACAAATTAATGTAAATGCTATAATAAGTAAATGGCATTGAATACTTTCTGAACTTAAAAGGAAGTCTTACCTTTAATGCAATGATATGTCAAATTATGCTAAATGAAGTTCAGAACTTTTCTGTAGTAATATGAAGGTGTGGCCCTTCTGGATAAGAAATAAGAAACAGGGAGGAGCAGAAAGAGGACAAACAACTTGTGCATCCTGTGTCTACATGGCATCATTTTGCCGCAGAATTTCTTCGTCCACGTTGACTGAGTTCAGGCTTATTTATGTTCTAGGGATTAGTTTTTAGTTTCATTTTCTTTTCTAATGAGTTTAAACAACTGGAGCACCATTTCTTGATTAAATCAAAATAGCTTTAGAAGGAAATGTGAGGGGAAGTAAAGTCTGTATTTGATTACATTATATTCCAAATAGTAAACATAGTTTGTATGTTTGAGTGAATTATATCTTATGAACTGAGATTGCTCTTAGAATAATGATATAATTTTTTTCCAATGAACTATATCTACTGCTTCAGTAAACAAAACATACACATGGTGACATAGGTGGTGAATGAGCTGAGGTTGAGAATGCCATGTTTTACCCTAGGAGGGTGGTATGGGTATGAGATGTACCATATGAAGTGATTTAGTTCATATGGCCTCTAAAAGTGAGTTTTCTCACGAGGATGCTTAATTTAGTGGGTTAGCAGATGCTTCCAACGATATTGCATTAAAAGTTTAGATGGTGGTTTCTATGCTTACACTGCACTGATGGATCAAGATGTGTATGAAATGTGAATAACAGATGTTGTTGGAGGATTGTGCAGATTGTGGAGACAAAATGGGTTTGAATAACAGATATTATTGGGAGAAAGGAAGATTAGCTGGGTTGTTAAATTAGCTGACTAACACTGCTTTTCATGATCTTCTGCCAGTTTAGTCTTTTTGTACTTTTACAAATTTGCATGCCTTGTCTGCAGGTCATGCGGAGAACACTAACACATTTTCTGCTAATGTGAAAATAGTAAGTATGTTGAGTTTTGTTGCTACTTCTTTCTTGAGAAGTCTGTAGAGACATGTATTTATAAAAAGCATACAAGTTTTCTGACTGTATCTTCTCACACTTGGATTTGTGGAGTGACCTTTGAGATGAGGTGGTTGTGTAAATCGTTTTCAGATAATCGCGTATTTTTTACTTCATTTTGTTTAATTTTCCGTTCTTTGGTACCCTGGTCATTTGCTTGTTTCATCCTTGCCAATGGCTATGGCTATGGCTATGGCTATCTGAAATACATAAATGTAAAATCTACCTGGTTGGTGTTATTTTCTGTTGCCATTTTATTGGAGGTTGTGACAATGATTCGATAAACCCCGAGAGATTTCCATTCTCTGGTGTCCAATATTTTCAAGTTTGTTTTTGCAAACAACCCAGCGGAGGAGAAAACTTGTCTTTGAGGTTTGTCTTCTGCTTAACCAAATTGACAATTTCCCATTTCCCAAACCAGGAGTGAGAGTGACTAAGATCTTATATTACCTCTTTCACTGAGAGTATTGGGTGATAATGCCCCTCCTTTTCTGATTATTGTCGAGGTTGACCTGTCTGTAGGTATATCGATAAGCCACGGTTCTTTCTCATGCTCCATGGGCATGAATAAGAATTGGTTTCCATTGCTGTTATGAATATTGCCGACTGTTCACTACGCCATTCAACTGGTTACAAATTAATATATTTTTTTGTTTTTTTTTAGCAGACAAATTAATATACTTAGAAATGGACAAATTCACGTTCAATAAAGCTACTAGTCCATCATTTCAAACCATCGCTGAAAGTACGACTAGTCGTATCATTTGCAACTGGATGCCTTTGCAACCATAAAAAATGGTCGCTCAACATACAAGGGTCAGTCCCTTTTGGCTGAGTAGAGCCACTGTCATATAAAATAGAGGTAACATAATGAACAACGGTTAACTTTGTACTAGAATTACATTCAAATATAATTCAACGTCCCTTTCAAGGAGGGTCTCCATGTCGTAAATCACAGCATGCTCGTGTTGCCTGCCGGGGCATCTGCCTTCATTTCTGTCTGCTGAGTATGAGGAGATACGGAAGATACAACTGTTCCATGGCTATCAGAATTATTTGGTGGCACAGCTGCTTGATCCTACATAACCCAAAAACAAGAGAGAATCAACATTCATGCTTGATTCAATTGTGCAGACATTCACAAGTTTCTTTTAATTCAAAGGGTAGTTGAAAAGGGGATACGTCAACAAATTTTGGACAACGCATGGTGTACGACTATTTTTTTTTAATCATAATCTTTTTTGGGATAAATCTAGCTCCAAAGTAAATGAATTCCTTAGTTTTTAACTGAGACATGGCCATCTTTTTTTTTTCGGTTAAAAGGGGCCAAGATGCCCACATACATGGGCCAATTTGAAACAACTTAGAAATCAGCTTTGAAGCAAATGAACAGAGAATGTCTTGATAATCCTCAGAAACCAGCTTTGGAAACAATGTAATCTGTACAAGAAGACTGCCAGCAATAAGCTTTCTAAGAATGAACAGAAGCACAGATCATTGAACGAAAATTTTGAGGGGGAAAAATATCCTCGAACATGTTTCCACAGTTTTTTTCTGTTTCTCACAACTAAAAATAGAATTCAACTGTTTGCTTTATGCTGGACCCTAAAGACGAACAGAACATCCAGTGGGGAAGAAGAAAGAGAGAAAAAGATGGCATGATCCTTTTACGGTTACATTAATTTAAAATTGGTGAAGAGGAGGGAGAAAAGAATGAACATGTGATAGTTTCATGTCGTCATACCTCTAACTCTTTATTCTTTTTCCTTTTTTGGGTTCATTAATTTGAAATTGCTACTTCGCTTGCCAGTTACACAAAATGATACATTTAATGCATGGTATACTGATCATATGCTCATGTAATATTAGCACGCATCTGGATTACCTTTAGTCCCCCTGATTTAGTGGTTCAACTTAGAGTTATTGACATTTAATTTAAACATGTATTTCCTAGTTTCCTTGACAATGCAGTAACATAACCATGCATTGTAGTCAAAGTTCAATATCATACCTGATGGTAGTAGTTGTCATGCTGAATCCCCGACGGACTAATTTGCTGCTGCTGCTGTGATTGCTGTTGGAGTGGCTGCTGATTGTTCTGCATGTAACTCAGATGCTGTTGTTCCTGAAGTTGCTGCTGCTGATGAGGTTGCTGAAGTTGCTGTTGTTGCATTTGCAACTGCTGATTGTATTGCTGTTGTTGCAAAGGAATCTGTTGCTGCATATTGTGTTGTGTCTGTAATTGCTGCTGTTGATAAGGTTGTTGCTGTTGCATCTGACCATAATATTGTTGAAGTTGTTGCGGCTGCTGCTGATACTGTTGCAACAACACCTGCTGCTGCTGGGGCTGGGGCTGGGGCTGTTGTTGTTGCTGCTGTGTTTGATGCAGCTGTTGTTGAAGAAGGAACTGCTGCTGCTGCTGCTGGTAGTAATAATATTGCCACATCTGATTATATGCTTGGCTATTCTGCATCCCGTACTGCCCTAAAATTGATCCTTGAGATGCCTGTGGAACAACAGATTGGACAGGCAACTGGGGCTGACATGAAGAGGCATAATTTGGTTGTGGTACATTTTGCATATGCCAAGCGTTAGGTGCCATTACATTAGCAGGAGTAGCTGCTGCTTGATACGGATTATGATCCTGGCTGCCTTGCTGAATTCGTGGGCTCTGTGAAGACACAAATTGAGAGGGTTGACATAGACTGCCAGTCCCAGGCATTGGACCACCCACTTCAGTTTGTGGGTATTTTTGTGGGGAAACTGGCTGCTGCTGATATGATTTTCTTTGTAAACGTCCCCGAAACCCAAATTTGGAATCTCTACGAACTTTACCCGAACGATTATTTTGATGCCAGTCTCCGTAACTATTCACAGCTGGTTGAGAAAGTGCATGTGTTGAAATCGGATTAACCACGTTATTTCCAGCCGTCTCCAAAGCTCTCGCCTTTCTTGGGCTGTACATATAAGAGTCTTCATTAGATTTGCAATTGCTCTCTAGCTTCCTTCCATTTGAAGTACAGTTTTCGTGAGAACCTTCGCAGTTGAGATAAACGGAGGGTATTAAATCCAGATTTGTATTCTCCTGGGAATTTAGAGAAAGACTCTCCAACGACAGTGACTTCAGGTCTTGTTCAGACTTATTGTCACACTCTCGATTAGCATCACTCCTGTTTGTGCCTTCTTGTGAAAGTTCTACAGAATCATTTCCTTCAGCAACTTGACATCCTAATTCAACAGATAATGCCTTCGGTTCAGGAGTATTTTCTCTGGGCTCCTCAGAAACTTCAGGAGATACCTGCTTCACTTTTACTAAATCTACAGATGACAGAGCTGCTTCTGGTGTATCATCTCTGGATTGCTCTTTTGAAACTTCTAGAGATGGCAGTTTCAGCGTTTCCTGTATGTTTTCAGGTTGCCTTGGTTGAAGCTTGTCAGAAGTAGTCTTCTCAAGTTGACTTCCCTGAGATGACAATTTCTGGTCACATATCTGGTCCGTAGGATCCTGGCCAGACTCGATTTTATGATTGTCTGGCAATAACATTTTACTGTCATGCAATGGGAGCTCAATCAGGGAGTCAGAACTACAATCTCCAGATGGCTGCTGAGGCAGAGCAACCAATGTTTCCTTTGTTCCTCTAGCCAATTTCAAAAGTTTTGTAAATGTAGTATGCTGATCAAAAGAAGCTGTCCTAGTAGAGGATGGGAACAATCGTACATGCCGATTCCACACCTTTCTTACTTCATGTATAGTTCCACATAGGTCAACAAACTGTTGCCATCATACACAAGTTAGAACCCTTGGAATTAGATGTAATAGCATAAACTCTATATTTAGAGTGCATTAATTAGAGAACCATCTCAAATTACAGGTATTTACAATAGCCTTGCTTGTCATTGTAAATTCTAGAGAGATTTTCAAATAAGTTCTCACTTTCTTGTAGTTTTTATATCACTTAAAAATGTAACTAAGTTCAAATTGTTTATTCACATCAACATTCTAAAAACAAATATTGCCATCACCATTTTGAAAACACATTTCAAAAAATAAAAGAGCACTATTTTGACTTTTAATTAACAATATTAATACAATCCATTTCAGAATTTGAAAACTGTATGTCCAGGTCCAGCAGTAAAAGTTAGTTGAAATTCCCCAAGTGAAGGGATTGAGAAGGATGTTAATGTGAAATTTTAAAATAAGGGAGGATACTACAATTTTAGTAAACATCAAGGGAGGTTGGTGTAATTTTCTCCATTAGTTAGTATGTGGAGATGACATATGATGCTTCAATCATTGTGTCCTTGCCTTGGATGCACATCTAGATACCCATCCACTTGTTCATCAAAATAAAACAGTTAAATCTTTCAGCACAGGAAAACATAATTAGAGATTATATTATGAATTTACTCTACCAAAGAAAATCATGCTTTTTATTTTGCTGGAAGGGGCTCTGGACAAAATTTAGGAAGTCCAAGTATTGTAGCAAAGCACCATGCACCCTGTAATTAGTGGAAACGTAAATTGACATTCATTCTGAATGACAATAAGCTTTGATCAAACTTGACAATAAGCTTGATCAAACTAAAGATCTAAAATTATAGCATATGGTTTGAAAATCTGGAGAGGCATAAACCAACAAGTAACACCTTTTCACGCCAATCTACTACTTTTCCCAAGACCAGCATATACATAGAAATGAGTTCAAAGAGAAATTTTAACCTCTAAATATAAGCTTGAAATATCCTCTGCATCTTTTGCATTCAGAACATCAGATACACTTGACTGTGGAGATATTGCACTGGCTACAATAGAATCTACCACGTTTAGGTGTCGCTTCCCTCCATGCATAATTGAAAAGTTTATCAACTCCTGCAGGTGTAACCAAGAAACTTTACTAGTCTCCGATAGCAGTTAGATTTATATCATGATGCTACAATGTGGCGAGGGTTAAATTATAGATTGATGTTTGGTGCAGACTGTATTTCCAGAACAGGTTTACTTTACGATCTGGAAATGTTTTATTAGTCATGAGAGATGCTAAAAGTAGAAATATACCTCTAGAAGTGATTTGCAATGAGGCAAGTGTTTGATGCCATCTATCAAGACATCTCTGGCAGCATCTGCACTATCAGTCATCTATAACCAGGAAGCAAGGAGATGTTAATAGTCATATCAAGTTGGCTGGAGCACTCATGTACCACTTAAAGATGGAATAATCACCAAAAAAGTCAAAATATTAAGGGGATCATGGAAGCACACAGAAGAATGGAAATCTGTGTAATCAAACATTTCTAATTACTTTATAAGCCTAAGTGACATTATGTACTTAAAACCTAGAGAGATGAAATAGAACCAAATGTACATAAAATAACTGATTTGACACCAACACTGAGAAACTCGATTTTCCTGAGTTCATATATTACCTACCATGTAGGTAAGTCGGGAAAAATGAACATATAAAATAGGAAGAGTATGCAACTTTTTCTTCTCTACCGCCATTTCTAGTGCTTCTTTGTATATATTGGAAGCTACTGCGAAATTTCCCTGATAATGTAGGAAAACCATCAGCATGTGTTAGTCCTCATTCTTGATCTCATCAACATGTACAGGTGATATTTCCTTGAAGTGATGAAAGAGCTAATTGCATACCATACGTTTTTCCATATTAGCCTTTAACATAACATTCTTCACAAACTGGGAATCTGATTCTGTATCACATTTAGGAAAAGCAGCACGGGCACCAGATACATCTCCTATTTTCTCCTTAAACCTGGCATTGAAAAGATGAATCACCGACAGTCTCTGCAACGAACATATGAGCAAGGCCATAAACATCTCCAGTCATGTACAAAGCAATCGAGTCAAGGCATCCTATAGAAAGCAGCAATCGAGCAAGTTTCAGCATGGCATAATCTAGCCACATAGTTTCTAATACTAATTTTACAGGAGAACTCTAATATAGTCAATCTCAATAGCACTACTGTAAGTTGCCAACAACAGGATTCAGGACAAAATATATGGCTCTTGGAGCAAATCCTAGTGTAATGGATTGTTTTTACAAAAGCGAAGATATGTCTATTACATATAATCCAAACCATAAGGAGTTCCGGGTGTATCCTTACATGGAAGAAAATTAAACCTTTGCCTCAATTCCCTGGTAACCAGTAAGGTGAACAATGAAGTCATATGTTCATAACTAACTTAAGAAAAAAAGATATCCGTTTGGTTCCAGATAGGTAAATGCTATAAAAAAATAAAAAAATAAAAAATTGATAATAAATAATAAAAAATAAAAAAACATAAAGCTTAGCCAACTTTAGAATGTTAGTATTTTTTGAAAGCACATTAAATGTCCCAACATTCACATATTCTTAAGAAAAGTGCCACATCTCCTGGTCCATTTCATGCTATGAAGGTTTCCACTTCAATCACTAAAGTGGATACCCCAGAAAATATAACTCAGTAGGATTCATCAGTGCACTGACTACAAAAATTGACGATTAGCCTGTAACTTACCAATATTATAGTCTTTAGATTGACCAATAAAACCATTTACCACAAATACGACTCACCTAAAACTAGATGTATATTCATGTTGTAGTCTTTCTTGTCATGGACTCTTAAAGAAAATTTTAACAGATTTAATTCGTTTAACTTTCTTTAAGCATGCTTTTTAACATCATAGAAGGAGCTAAGCTCCATATGATGCATAACAATAAAAGAAAACTAAATATGAAAAATGGATCAAATATATTGGTTATCAATTTACTTGATGTATAGCAGCAGAATAGTGAAGGGAAATACTGGTGCAAAAACTTCTTCAGATTACATCAATTCTTAATGAAACTTAGCATAAGTACTTTAAATTGGAAGCGGGAGAATAATGGTTTCAAGGAAAAATACCTTCATAAATATTTGGGTTGCTCGGTCAAGAGCATAGTTTGCAATCTCTCTTCCTCCGTTGATTTCCATGAATTCCACATAACGCATCCAAAACTCAGGGTAATTGGCACAGGGAATCAAGCATCTCTCATAAAGTTTAACAGCCTACACTCAATGAATAAAGGGGGTTACGATAACAATAAAGAAAGGCAAGAGGCCAAGGCCACATAAGCAGAAGAACAATATAGAATCATACCCAGTCGAAATCCCCTTGGATCTCAACAAAGTCCAGATAGTGATGCCAATTCTCCAACTGACCCACATCAATTGGCTTGACATGGAAGTAAGACCTCCTTATATTAATCTCAAAAGTACTAATTGTTTCATCCAGCCGACATGCTTCCTGATACAACTGCTTTCCGACATATATGTATTTTTGCAGTGCTTTAGAACTTTCTAAGCCAATTGCTGGATCAAGCAAGTCCTTGGCAACAAGAGCAATTTCATCATCTCTATAAAATGTAGGGGCTTCACTATCAAGCACAGTTTCTGATTGCAAATCTACAGTAAAACTACTCTGGCATTTCATCTCCTCTTCGCATGAGGCAGCGAACTTCTTCAAACTAAAGAAAACATGGAACTCATGCCTTGTAAGAACAACATCTGAATGGCTCAACTAGAAGAGGGAAAAAGACATAAAATTGTAAAATGTTGCATTCCGCAAGCACAACAAAAACCTAGGTCATTAGAAATCAATCATAACAGCAAACGGGAGATTGTGGTAAACTGTCAACAATCATGCAAATCAAGGTCTTCAGAAAAATACACAGTAATACCATTGAATAATAAGAAATTATAATGAAAGAGCAAATCAAAGTTTATGAGGTTGTATTTCAGAAGTGTAATGGAGTGTACACGCTTCATTGATAACGATGATTTCATATTTTTCTCCTTACATTTCAAAAACTCTGAAGATCCAAAGAATCAATGCAAAGAGATATACCCTTCGTAAAAACGATGCAACTTTTTGGTAGGAAATCTAAGAGCTTGGATGTAAATCTGGGCCAGCGAACTCCATTGCTGCTGAGAATACTCAAATTCAATGTATTTGTCCCACAAAGTATGGCAGGAGTAATCCTTTCCAACAAAAGACATGCCTCTCTGAAATAATCTGTCAAAGAATTTCAAACAGAAACAAATAATTAATAATTAATTGCGTCAAAATTGATATACTTTTTGCCCCACCAAGCAAGAAATCCAAGTATTCGAAATTTGCAGCTGAAAACTGTTATGGAAGCTAATTGTTATCACCTGCGAATGTCAGATGGGTCTTCAAAAGCTGCCATAGCAAAGTTACAGTAGTCCACCCACAGGGGAACAGAGTACGTTGCTGATTGCACCGCTCGTTCGAAAACGTGAACAACCTTGTCAACGCTGCATAAGCGGGCCTTATGATCAGCATACCTCCTCCAGTATCCATGGCACAGCGGAAACTCGGACAAGAACGAGTCATAAACTGAAGATATTTTCTCTACGTCATCCTGCAGAGAATTTCACAACCAAACATTCATAAATAAATAAAAAATATGCAGAAGGAAGCAATTTGCTTTACAAAATAGAGAGAGAGAGAGAGAGAGAGAGAGAGAGAGAGAGAGAGAGGAAGAAGAAGAAGAAAGCAATTTGCTTACAGAATATGCAGTCTCTATCTCTGAAATGAGTGAAGTCCAGTGATCAAAGTCTAGTGAGTCTCGACGAAAATCATCTGAGTGATAAACGCAAAAGAATTTGAGCGGTAAATTACTTGAGCATTCAGAGAGCATATTACAGCAGCTAGATGAACAAATATCATATTCAAGCAAGCTTATTGAGAGAGAGAGAGAGAGAGAGAGAGAGAGAGAGAGGGCCTGTGTGTTTGTTTACCTGGAGAGTCTGAATATGCAGTCTCTATCTCTGAAATGAGTGAAGTCCAGTGATCAAAGTCTAGTGAGTCTCGACGAAAATCATCTGAGTGATAAACGCAAAAGAATTTGAGCGGTAAATTACTTGAGCATTCAGAGAGCATATTACAGCAGCTAGATGAACAAATATCATATTCAAGCAAGCTTATTGAGAGAGAGAGAGAGAGAGAGAGAGAGAGAGAGAGGGCCTGTGTGTTTGTTTACCTGGAGAGTCTGATTCCATGGGCTCAGGCTCCGATTCGCAATTACAAGTTCTCATGGGCCCAAAATTGATGAATGTGATCTCAGAGACTGAGAGAAGAGAGGGAAGGGACGCGGTAGAGTGAGTGCCGATTACGGGGGGTAGCTTGTATTTGGTTCTCCAACTTTTGCGAATATTTTCTTTTAACTTTTCCTTTTAGCAAATATTTGGTTTTTTTTATATATAGAATTTAAGTATAATAGGGTTGGGCTTTGTCTATTTTTTTGTCTTCTCCGAAAGAAGATTTGGATATAATAAGATGGACTTGACATTTGTAAATAAATACTTACTTCTATAATAACCTAAATAATTTCATTTGCTTATCTGACTAATAGCTAGTTAGTTAGTTATTTATTATAAGATGAGTTTGGGGAAATTTTTGAAATTTCTAGATTAAAAAATAAATGTAAGAAGAACACATCGCCAACGGGTCCAACCTAGAAAAAATGGCTTTGAGTTGTAGACCATACGTCACTAGTTCGAACTTCATGACACTTTTCAAGTGTGAGTGTGAGAAACCTCATTAAATTTAGTCCTTGGAAAAAAAACAAAGAAAGTCCCCAAAATAAAACAAAACAAAACAAAATCCTTACCTATCTAAACAACAAAAAAGTAGGTATGAAATTTGTTATCTAACGTTGTTGTTGTTGCTGAATGACCAAGACACTAGATTTGCAGCGAGAGTCCGTCGACGAAAGCATATCTCCAATAACCCCAAGCTCCGGAAACTCACTCCATTGATCAAGACCCAAAGTCTGAGGGCTGCTCACATTATATCTTCTCCCAACTATGAACATGTCGTATTCATTTTCATCCATCAACGACCGTATTTTCCTTGTCGTTTTAATCCCGTCCTCTACAATCTGCTCCACATAACTCACGTACCCCGCGCCATTATACTTTATTTCCTTCAACATCTCATTGTCCTGCACCCACTCCCATTTGTCGTTCCCGTCTTCATCCCCGGACCCATCGACTAACCGAATCACCGTCAGGCTGATGTACGCGTCCTTAGCCACGCGCTTCGCAAAGGTAAGCGCCTCCCTGTCATCGCTCCCTCCGAGAAAAATCAATGCAACTCGGTACGCTTCGTTAGGTGATGCTGAGGAGTTGGTGCATTTTACGTGACCACGGTTGACAAGGATGCCAACTGAGCAAGGCGCTGTTTCGAGCACTCTACAATTGAGTGTCCTTGTGTTTTGGTTTTCTGACTCAATTGACCCGTTGACTCTCGACCACTTTCGATGGAAGGGGAGGATTATAAGCGACGTTGCTTTGTCTATCGCGAGGGTGCATATGTCATCGTACATGTAGTGTGGTTGAGTGATTGCCGTAAAGACTTGTGCAAAAACAGCTCCTTCGTTGTCTCTCTGAAAGTTGGAGAAGGAAATAATGACGTTCTCGGAGAGTGAATTGTTTGAAAGGGTTCTCTTTTGTAGATTGTGGGAAATTAGGACGGGGGCGGCTCGACCAACTAGCTTGACGAGGTGGAGGACATAGACGGCAATGGGGCTATCTCGGGTTGGGCACGAAGCATCGAGAAAGTTAATTATGGCAGGGGTGTTATCAGCTCTGTTGATGCATGCAAGGATTCGGAGCTCGGAATTGGGTTTGCAATGCATAAGGTTTCTTTTCTGATAGCCTACGTATTTTCTCTTAGGATCGTACAAGAGTCTTATAAGAGGTGGGACGATGAGTACACATAACACAATGGTTAACATCATATAATCAAAGACTTCGGAAAATATTAGCTGCACATGACAAAGGAACAACATTGACAACCTTAGTTAGTAAATTCACGTGTAAGAAAACATTAATTAATGTGAGTGAGAGTTCTACTTTTTTTAGAGAGCCAGTGATAAATAAAACAATTAGCGTGTGACAAACAACACGTCATATCACGTAATATTATTGTTAGAGAGAAGTTGAATTCAAATGAAAAGCTTACCCAAGTGTCGCTAGCAAAGGTGTACGTGCCTAACTCAACAACGCCTTTGCTACACAAAATGAGAGCCAGCGCTAATGCGTCCCTCATATGCATCTTGCAACACAAAGGGATCACCAAAGAAGCTACAAATTTGCTGCAGTAAACCACAGAAGTAACAATTGTGGCGGCTAAAACTGTCCTTTTGTGAGCCTTAGGCAGGGACATTGTAACCCTCATCATGGACGTGGTCGCAAAAACTGGCATAAAAACCCTATTGACCATAAAGTCAAACTTGTTGACCAAAGTAGCTCCTACTGGTGGCCCATCTGGCACGGCAAAACCCAACATCAAAGGTCCGATGATAAAAGACAGCTCACACCAATTGGAAAGCAACGCAGATCCGAGAAAAGCCAGCATGATTAGGACAACGTACGAGTCTTTGATAGGCTTGCCTTGAGGTGTTTGTTTAGCTATCCAAAACATAAATGGTCGAAAAACAAGCCAAACAAATAAAGTGTAGGCTACCATTACCACTATGTCCTGTATCCCCTTGAGCATATTTTGTTGCACGGCCGCTGCCATTGCTGCAACGCTGGTGATGGCAATGCTGCAGAGGTCGCTGACAAGCGCTGAAGACAACGCTAACCGGCCAAGCTCGGAGTTCAGGATTTTGAGATCGGTGAGGAGACAAACTACGACGGGAGAGGGAGTTAGAGAGTGCATTGCTGTTAGAAACGCAAGCTGCACAATCTCTTGTCCATTTAAGAACCATTTAGAGTGAAGGAGGATTATGGTACCGACGCCGGCTACTATAGGCACTGACAGGCTTAATGCGCCGGTGTAGAGGGCTTTTTTTCCTGATTTAGATATTAACCCCAAGTTCAATTTGACTCCGATCAAGAAGGAAAAAAATATGTAGCCAAATAACGACATTATGTTGAGTATTTCTTGATTGGCAAAAGGAAATATGGGATTCATATCATGATGACTAGATGATTTGACTATTCGGGAAAGTCCTGCATCACCAAGGAGTATTCCTGCCTGCATGGTTCCACCAAAAGAGAAAATACATTCATAATTTACTCGTAAATTTGAAGTGTACACATTTTAGTTTTATGATAAATAAATAAAAACTTCAAAAGCTGGAACGCATTTTGCTGGATGTGAGACAATCATGACGAGCGAATTTACATGGAACGGCCGTCTCACATCCTGCAATTCCCGAAGCCAATTGATCATTACCATCTATCTAAAGACAACTTCAATAATGACGAAAAATATACTATTGTGAGATTCACATGCATCTACAGTTGTTTAACTTTAATCTACGGAGACGAGACCATGCATAGAGATGAAACTAAAAGGATATTAATGAGGAGAGAATTAAAGCACGTGAGAAATATGTAGTACTTACCACAAGTTGAGCAGCCAAAGCCGGGAGGCCAAAGATCTTGAGAAAGAGATGGGTGAGCTCGGTGAGAACAAACATGAGAGTCATTTCAAACTCCAGGATTGGCATCGTGTAATTCTGCAGAGGAAATGAGAAATTCACCAACGGAGTAGTAGCATTCACCGTCCACCTTTCCGTTCTGTTCCACAACCCAAGCGAATTTATACGAAACGGAAGATCAGTGCATATTGTCACCGTAGTATTAGCCAAAGCTTCGTACAACGACATTTTGCCACGGCCACCACAACAAAGCTTAGGAGTTCATACAAGTTTAATTTGGGGGTATATATTCAGACGCATACAGTAGCAAGCAAGCAGCTGGTTTGAACGTGATGTCGTTTTGCTTATGGCCACGGTAACTGCCTTGAACAAGTATTTAACTGACTAGAAGTTGGTTGGGTTTGGGAGGTTAAAAAAGGTTAATTTTGTTCAGCAGAACAGTTAAAGATTGGTAATTTTACACCTGTGTTTTCTGCACACACAGCCACCGTTTTGTCTATTTATCTGTACTGTTATTATTAAGAGATGAGGTTAGGTCAGCCATTATAATAGGAAATATCAAATCTACACTTGATACACAAAAACTAATATCTTGTTCATGTTGTGGCAGGTGGGGCCAATCGCCCCATGCAAAAAAAATAAAGTTTGGTAGAACATCCAATCTGTCCACTGGTATTTTCGCGAAAATATCTCAGAAAGGCTAAGTAGACGGTTCATATGTATTTTCTGTCTCAACTAAAAATTTATAGTTCCACCAAGAAAAATTAAGCCATATTTGGGTTGCTACAGTTAAACTGCCTGTTTATGCATTTATAATAACCAAATAATAAAAATTTCACCTGTTTTCGTGTTATTATCAATGGTTTACAAATTTTTTAGTCTCTCAATTTCTCCCTCTTTCCTTATGTAATTCAATTTATATCGTACCTTACATCAACACGGATAAATTTGATCTCAATCTCCGTATATTAGATATTAGAGTAGTTTAGAATATCATTATATCAAAACTATTAAATATGTATATTAATCAGATGACTACCTCAATGATCCGTTCTAGGAGAACCGTAAACCGAACACGTGGATCCAAATTATTTGCCGGGAAATAGTGAATTACGGTAAATAAATCATTGTGCACTCCACCACCTTCCACCCTGCAATCTCACTCTCTCTCTCTCTCTCTCTCTCTCTCTCTCACTTTACACGCTAGTGTTTGTTTGTCTCTGCGCTGGAGCCAAAAAGAGAAAGCAGAGCAAGATATGAAAATGGCGAGCCTCTCACTCTCCTCCACGTCACCACAGACTTTTTCTCTCTACAGCATCAGGAGCAGCACCAAGTTCTCCGTCTCTCAACCAAGGCCGGCCAAGCTCTCTAGTGTTCTTCTTGCTCGGACCTCCAGCTCACTCCACTATAACCCTCTCAGGTAATTTTGTAATTTCACATTCAAGGCTTCAAATTTCAATGTTGACGTTGAAATTGAATGCAAAGCTCTGGTTTTGTTTTCCGGGTAGAGTTTCGATTGGTGGAAATAATGATCTCGGGGTGCTGAAGAAGAAGAAGAAGAGCATGGGATCGGGTGCGGTATGTTACGCTGCACCTCTCACTGTTCATACCCTCCAGTGGATCTTCACCGTTTCTTCTGCGTAACTCTCTCTCTGACCCCCTTTTTTTGTTTTCGAATTTCCTTGAAAGATTTCCAATTTTGGTAATGGAATCTTGAGTGTGATGGAGTATGCGTTAATGGGTATTCAATTTTGTTACATTTCCAGGGTTCTACTGCTTGCAAAAGGCACTGCTGTTCAAAAATCATTTCTTGTTCCATTGTTTGTTCTACAAGCACCATCCACTGTAATCTCATGGTTTAAGTAAGCCTTTCAAAAACTTCTCTTTCTCCTTTTTTGTCTTTTTCTTCAGTTTTTGATTGCATAAAAGTTTTTTTCTTTTTTCTTGGTAACCTATGGACCACGTCTGCCATTTAAGTTTAAATGCATAACTTGGCTGACATACATGATTTTGGCTTGCAGGGGTGAATATGGTACCTGGACTGCATTCTTAGCACTTCTTGTTCGTCTCTTCTTCTTTATTCCTGGTAGGTTCTCTTTTGATTCCTTGTTTTGAGTATAGGATAGATAAAGCTCTAAATAGATAGTTATCTGGTTTTCTCAAATGATAGTTTCTAATTTCAGCCTGGTTTGTTGACTTTATTGGTTTACTTGATTCACTAGTGGTCAACAACCCATTCAGTGTAATCTACTCTTCTTTGGGCACTATTCCTATAAACAGCTCAATATTAATTAAAGATTCTGCCCAGTTTTTTCAGAATACTGACCTTTATGGTTTAGTGTGAAATCTGAATTCTTGTTTTCGGGCTCATATTATGGAGTGGTTACTTGGCACTTCTCTAAGTCTTGTTCTGTTTTCTACTTTCAATTTGAAATTTGAGGTGCGGTAATATTTACTTACAATTTCCTCGGTCAAGTAATATTTATACGGTCTCATTTTGTTCTTTTGCAGCCGAACTTGAGTTGCCATTGGTAGCATTACTCCTGGTGATTGTGGCTCCTTACCAAGTTACAAACATAAGGTAGGCAAATGCGTTGTTTGAGACCAACCTTGACCATTATTTATAATTTTCTTAGTTGTTATGTTTCAATATGTTCCATTGGCAGGGGAAGACAAGAAGGTGCTATTATTTCACTGGTTATTGCAGCATATTTGGCTTTCCAGCATTTCTCACGTATAGGAACCTTGCAGAAATCATTTGACCGAGGTTCAATTGTTGCTACCTTAGCCATAATTTCTATCACTGCTGTGTCGGGCCTTCTCCTGTTCTGAGTTTATTGTAAAATAATAAAGAGTTATCAACCATATCTGCCTTATGAACTCATCTGAAGGGGGTGGAAGCCTGAGAACAGTCATGATCTACGGACCTTTCATTCTCATGTTAGATATATGTATGAGGGTTTAGGAAAGCTTGGCAGATACAATAAAATAAATATAAGTTCTCAGTATTTGTTCATGTTTTGTCAATATAAGGAAATCTTGTCAACTAGTGTAATCTTTCCTCTGATCTACTCTTGAATTATTCGTATGTACATGTAAAAGAGATGCCATTTTGGTTTGGAGTATTTTTCCTTTTGGTTTGGAGTACTGCATTTTGGGGTTAAGTGATGCCATTTTGGGATATGATAGAGATCGTGGAATTGGCATGTTACAGCCTCGGTCGCCTACCTAGCCATTTGAATGCACAAAATTCTATAAATTCCTTTGATGATTATATTGGAATCTAGAATGAAAGTTAATAATATGGATTGAGCATGATTTTATTGTTGGAATAAAGAGTATTAACATTTTAAATGTAGACAATGAAGAAGAGCTTAGGCATCTGTTGTCATCTTCATCCTCCAAGAAAGTACTTGTAATGGCGCATGTGCATGTTAGGTCAAATTTTTATGTGTTGTATCTCAAGAAGGCATATTTATTTGTTGATGAAGGGGAAACATACCCTATATTTGAATAAATTGGTTCTTTTTAAGTATCTAATGTCTTACTACCAGAAAAGCCATAGGTCATTCCTTTTTACCAACTACTCTACATCCATTGTTTCTAGTTAGGTCAATAACTTTTGATAACTACACCTAATACTCTGTCATAGTTTCTATATTTGTGTTATCCATTGGCATCATAAAATTTTAAATTGTGTTAGCTAAAATATGTAATAAGCATCTTGTCATTTTATATAAAAATAAAAAAAGTTCTAAAGCCTGGTGGACTTAGCTAATAATTAAAATTTTTATTGTACTAAAACTGCAGATAAAGAACCTATATGTCTACAAATACAAGAATCTAAAAAATTTCTATGCTTGTCTGTCCTTTTCTCAGGCTTAATAGGCTACTAATGGGTGTACATAGATGAAGTATGGCAATAATTTAAATGGTGTGAACAAGGCCTGGAGATAACATAGTAGCTCATTTTGATTCTCAGTGCCTCCTTGAACTTTATGTAGGATGCTGGCATGTGAATGGATTGCCATCTATTTGCAGATAGAATAGTTGTAACTTAGTTTCCTTTTAGAGATAATTTGCTGCAAGAAGTGACCCCAAGAGCCCAGTCGTGGTGAATAGCAGCAGCATGCAAGATGAGATAGAGGTGGCTGAGTTGGGGGACTCTGTTGGTTCCGAACCATAAATTGTTGATCCACCTGGTGTAGCAATGCTTGGGGTGTATGGAGTTGTCGGCATTGTTGGTGTTGTCATCATTGTTGGGGGTGGTGGTGACGGGTTAACTGGTGAATATGTGCTGAAATTGGAAACTCGAATAAGATTTCTTTTCACTTGGTGTGTTCATAAATGAAGTTGGACGTGGGGTTATGATAGATTACCTGGTTGATGCTGTGGATGATGGATAGCGACAGCTACCGGTACCTGCAATAAGACAGAGTGGAGAGAGTTAAGCATCTATTCAAGCATGTAAGAACAACAAGGTCAGGAAGTTGAATTTGTTCAGTGGCGGATCTGAAACTTTTGGCAAAAGTGCTAGGAAGCTTTAGCTGGATAGAACATTCAACAAGATCTTTGTAATTAAAAGAAAGAGGGTTCTTTTTATGATATTGTACAGGTATATTTTCAGTAACGAGGAAGCTTCCCTTTTTTTTTCAGTGAAAGTTCGGACAAGTTATAAGGTTCAATCCACATTTCAAGAGATATTTCAGCAATATTGCTTGATAGGACTTAAATTGATGAAAAAGTCTTACTTGGGTCAGTGTTGGTGGTTTGAGCTGTTCCTCCAAAATTGCAGCTAGTAGGCGCTGGGTTCTTGTGGTAGTAATCATTGAAGGCGAAGGAAGCGTGATCACGGAGAGTGTTTGGGTTATAACAGCTTCCACCTTGTTGAACAGCTGCACAGTCTGCACCTCCATAGCCACAAGCATAATCAAGAGCTACCTGTAAGGCAGTTTGTGAAGCTGCTTGGCTGGCAATACACCAAGTTCCACCTGATGATGTAGGAGTTGTGGTGGTGGGAGTGGTCGGGGTCAGGGTTGTGGTTGGTGGCGTTGGCGTTGGCGTTGGCGTTGTGCTTGGGTCTGTTGTGGTTGGTGGTGTTGGGGTTGGGGTTGTTGGGGTTGGGGTTGGGGTTGTGATTGGGTCTGTTGTGGTAGGTGCTGGTGGTGATGTTGTCGGGTTCACAAAAGGTGTGGGAGTCAATCCAGTTGGACTTGGATTGACTACGGGAATTGTTTCAAGCTGGGTAGCATACACCGAAGATGAGAAAAGCATACGATTCACTTGTGTGTTGCTTCGGTGGGTTGCTTCCAAAGGAGGATTCTTTGGAGCACTTGAACCTGAAGAAATGAAAAGCATGGTAAGTTCTTTTTCTTTCATTGAAATAATGGAAGAAATTGCTATGATTTGCTATCCATACAAGTTGAAGGTAAACAAAACAAACAAACCTGAATAACTGTTAGGAAAGATAAATATCTAGAGTTATTCCAAAATCAAAAGTAGATACAATGGAAACACAAGCCACCTTAGTTATGGATCAAATTCACCATCAGGTTTAGGTGTTTGATGCTTGTAATGCATGTGTGAATTCTGTTTTGTTCTCTCTCTTTTTATCCGCTCATGTTCTAGTTACTTAAGATGATCAATGGATGAATTGGAAAGAGTGATCTAATTGAATTAAAAGATAATGCTAAATGCTTCTTGTGCTTGTGGATAATCTTTGTCAATTTCTCATGTTTGGGTCATATACAAAGGAGGTGAATTAGTATTAGACAGGAATTCATGCAATTTTGACTTAAAATTGTCAAACACCATAAATGCATGCTGATGATCAGAAACTAACAATGAGAAATCCATTATCCATTGTTCTGAACTCTGGAAAATAAGAAGGAACTGGTTTGGAAATCCTCTGCTCTTTAGAAACAGTCATCTTTTTCTTTCACAAAATCAACCTATGCACCTTCTGACCATGGCCATAGGACATTAAAGAAAATCGATGATCATGCAAGACGATGAGCAAATTCGGGTTGGTAGTTAGAAGGCTTGTGTTGAAATACATAGAAGAAGAAGCGAAACACACCAAGAAGACATTTCAAATTACCTGAACTAAAGAAAAGAAACAAGAAAAATAACGCAGAATGCCGAAGAGAGCTAACACCCATCTCTGCTAGATACTTCTTCTACACCTTGTGATTGTAGATTTTTCTTCTGGGCTCAAAACAATGATGGAGAAGCTAAGATATACTACACGAGAAACAGAAATGGTGGTTGTTGCAAAAAGAAGATTTTATCTCTTTTCTCTGCATTTGTTATATATATCTTGAGGAATCATAGCTTTCTTGGATCGAAGAGAAGATGAAAAGAGAGAAGGGAGAATATAGAAAACTTGAGAAAGGAGGCATTAGGGTAGTTGGATATTGCAAGCAAGAGATGGTGCAACAAAAAAAAAGTATATGAAATGGTGAAAGGCAAAAGAATGATTTCATGGAATTTAAATCTCGTGTTTTGGCTAATAAGAAATCGGGTATCTCTGTGACAGTGATGCTGCAGCATTTTTCCCTTTCTCTGTTGTGCTCTTCTTTCTACTGTTTTTGCTGTACTTTAGTTTTTTTTAGTTTAGTTTTTTTTTTTCATGGTACTGAATCAAAAAGCTAAAGGTGGGGGCAAGTGTGAGTTTGTGAGTCACATCTAATTGTCTGTAACCAAGAATATTGTCCCCCTTGTCGATTTCTTACTTCACTCAGCTTTAATGGAAGTTCCCAAATTAATGTATATGCAATGCAGCATGTGATATTGCCTTGCTTTCTCCAAAATAAAAAAACTTGGCCTTGTTTGCAAAAGGAAAAACTTGGCCTTGTTTGCATACGATCAAATCAAGCTCTTGAAACCCAACATTTAATCTGGGCCTAGTCCATTTCAGTCAAGTTTCAATGTTCATTCATGACCTAAGAACGCAAAACTTTTCGTGCAAAACAACAGAGATGAAGAGAAGAAAATTTATATACCACGAAAGGAAATATTTGGGTTTTCTTGCTTTCTTTCTTTTGAGGTCGGTGTGTTGGATGTTTTGAATAAAAGGTTTCGTGGCAATTAAGGTTTATCTATCAAAAAGCAGAGAATCAACTAGTTTGGGAAAGGATCTGGGGGCAGTGACTTTTTAGTGGCATAAACAAAACTTGAACTAAAAGGTAGGGCAACCTCGCTATATTTGGTATCTTGGTTGAGTTCCTTGAAAAAGTAAATGAAGATGAAGCAAAGGTTTGGTCACAAAACACAGAGTGATTTGGGTCCGGATCTGGAATTAAAAAGGAAATAACTGGGTTTTCTAATGAACATTACAGATGATGCTATTATGCATCTTTCCCACAACGGGAATGTCACTGTCGCGGTATTCCAAACCAATCATGCACCGATCATCATCATTGGCATATCATGGATAATTTAGTTTCCATGGATTCCTCATACTAAACCCTATCACGGAAGGTCACTTGATCATCATCAGTTTTGTGCATGATGATCATGATCACCAACTACAATCCTAGTGCGCAATCAAACAGTCAGTATGACCACAACAATAAATAGGGACAAGAAGGACGGACGGCCCCTTGATCAGCCACTTATCAATTTATTTACTTTTGGCAATAATAGTTGGGAGGCTGCTCATTTTCTGGGATATCCAAATTTGGTAACAAAATTGAGATATCAGTAAAACAAAATTGTACTAGTCTCTTAAATATAAATGGAGGTAGAGGAGGAGACCCATTAATTGCTTGTGATATGATAAAATCCATGTCCAAAAATAATTAAAAGTCTTAATTATATTGGTTGAAATTTGGTCTCAAATACATTTATGTATGAAAAATGTACAGCATATTTTCCTACACTAGTATCGGTCCCAAATTCCACCCCCACCTCCAGGGTCTTCTCCAATTCAAATTTCCCCATGTGAGCACTCCTTGGATCCTTCGGTAAGCTGACTTGCACCAGAGACATGTTTCAGTACAGAACTCAAAACTAAGAGTTCCATACACCTTGTCAATCTCTTATAGGCATATTGACAAAGGAAGTTGATGTTTTCCAAAGTGGGAATACTGCTGCAGCTTTCATGCTAACAGATTCTGCGTTTGACTATTATTCAATTAAAGGTAGAAACATGTCCAGAAGAATCAAAGGTAAGAAAGAACTGTGTCAACCACTGATCTATCCCCGCTGAAGCATATTACACCGTGAAAGATGTTGTGTGACGTCACTCCAAGCTGCGGATAAAGAGATCCTCAGATTATATGAAGTCTAGAAGGACTTTATGGCAAAAGAATGAAGTATTATTATACCTGGGAAATTTCGATAATCAGGTTCTATTCCATTGCCATTTATGTCCTTATGTTTTGGCGTAACATACTTCCCAACAGTTACAACCACACCAGAGCCATCACGAAGTTCAAACACAGATTGAATCAAACCCTGTCAAAAGCATCAGAGACACCATCAAAATCATCAATGGGACGTTAGGGATATTTTTTTGTCTGCAAACTCCAAACTTTTAGATTGATTAAATGACAAAAAGATAAATCTGTTTTCTATCCTCAATCATGAAAAGGCATCTTTTGTTATATCCACCATTAGAAAGCAAGTTGCTGGAACTTCGGTAACAAACGGACTCTAGCTAAATCAAGTTCCATCACAACACAAATACATTATATATATGCAAAGACAATGCTGAAGCACCAGTGATGAATTTTTTTTTTACCTTGCCAAATGTCCGTTCACCAACAAGAACACCTCTACAATTATCATGCAAAGCTGAAGCAACCTGCAATCGGAGCCACCAATGTAAATGCTAGAATTGTACGAACTAAAAGGAATCATACATAATTGGGACAATCAAGCTGCTCACAATTTCACTTGCACTAGCAGTATTGTTGTTCACCAAAACCTGCATTAGAAGTTAAGTCAAGAGCCTTGTCATAAACCATAAACTGAATATGTTAGAAATTACATTTGCCACAAATCCTAACTCAGTGGTAAAGAAGACAAAATCACAAGATTTTTCAAGCCAAAGAAGGAAAAAGCTAGCAAAGATTGTCGACGTTCTTAGAATAGAAGGCAGCAGGTGAACATTATGTTTGACATGAGGGTGCACTGAAATTCAATAGATTGCAGAAGGATTTCTTAATAAATTGAGCCCATCTGGACCCAAACTTGAGGCTATCAGGCTCCTCAAGAGACGGCCATAAGAGGAATAAGTGCTGTCTCAAATCTTCCTTAATCTACTCTGATTCAGATGAGTGGATGGTATCCACTCCAATTTTGACCTTGGTTAATCGTTAATAAGTACTCAGTAAGTTTTATCATTTTTTTTTGTTTATCCCTAATTTAACATTTAAGTTTAAAACGGATCTAATAGATACCTAAAGTTTCAACTCTTTTTCTAAATTACAAGCCAAGTTCAAAGAAAAACTTAGCATACAACGCCCTTACAGCCCCAATCATAACAAAACCGAAATAGTCTGGTAAGGTCAGTTGACACAGTTGGGGCATAGTTGCAACCTTACTATACACAATTGACCTTTGGGTTTTCTTTTTCCAAGGAAAAGCTGCAACAAAAAATCTCTAATGGTTTTCCCTTATGATATGTTGGATAAAGACAGGAAGCCTTAAGTGACATAGTAAAGTCTTATTAGAGCACTGTGTCCTGTATCCCATGACCATTCCAAACAATGTCATCGGTTTCCAAATTCTTCCAGTGCAGGGTTCGAGCAAATTTATTATTCAGAGTTGACAATTGATACTACTAAAATGCGAGAACGTCAAAGATTTTAGACAGAAATAAGCCTTTGATGAAAAACAAGGAAATTACTAAACACTAATCTATTCATGGAAACAGATAAAAAGTATCTTAGATATGTACAAGGGCGTACAATAACAGGAGCTGTAACTAATGGTGCAGTATCTGCAACAATACTTTGTTGGTATTCAGGATCCTTCCCATCAGTATAAATCACCTGTTCATAAACATCATCAAGAAAATGCACCACGTATATAAAGTTAGTTTAGTGGAATTAATATATGCAACAGAAAACGCAGAAGTATTCTGCTAGCATAGAGGAGTGACTTAAAAAATAATGCAACAAAAAGAACTAATGCCAAACACTAACACCGCCAATGAGATAATAAACAAGAAAATTGCATCTGGAAAAAGAAAGAAACATACCGTCTCCCCTTCATTCAAAAATAGCTTGGCAATTTCTATTCCAGCCTGAAAATAGGCAAAAGGGTATAAATAAAGAATCTTCAAATTACAGAATTCAGCTGAAATAAAGTACACATTGGAACATACAAACATCACTGAGCTTGTGCTAATAAACAATTGGACAGGATTGAGTGAATACAATTACATGCAGAGGATGCATGATTTTCCACAAAAAGGTGTAAAAGTTTTCTTTTATTACTTTTCCACATGTCCTATGAAAACTTGATAATAACAATTTACTCAAAGTTATCTCTAATATCCAGAATGAAAACCTGTACTAGTCCACCACGATTATCTCTAAGATCCAGAATAAAGTATGATGCACCCATGTCCTGAAGTCGCTTCATAGCTGCAAAAATCATTTTACCCTTCAATATAATCCTAAAACCAAGTAACCACTATATAACTCTAGTATAAAGCATAAAAAGAAGCTACTAATGTTGTAAATAAGGTAAAGCAAGTATTCTGAAGCCAGCGAACAGGGAGCAAAACGGAAGCAATAATTATTTAGGGTTTAGGGAACCACATACCTGTTACCAAGTCTTTTCTAGCCAATGCATTGAACTCTTTTACGCGCGTGTATCCAACAGATCTGGTTCCATTTTCTATTTGTTCCAACCGATAAGAGACAGGCGTTCGAGCAACAAGTTGTCTTTGGACTTCAATAGATTGAATAGGCCCACAATTTCCATGCTTGACCTAAACGTATGACAATGTTTATTCTCAACAATCATTGTTAAAAAAAAACCAACAAAAATGAAAAATACCAATACTCATTATCAAGGTTAATTTAAATGATAACCTATTTATGGTAGAGACAAACAACAGCATTACAAATAGTATCACAACCTTAATAGTAACGAAGGTTTCGTTAGGACCTTGCATCATCGATGATACTTCAAAGGCTGATTTCCCTTTCACATCCAATCCATTAACAGCTAGTACTTCATCCCCCTACCAAATAAGAGAACCCAAGAAAACCTATTAAGACCAGTTAGAACAGGGGAAAAAAAAATGTAGGCGCAGATAAACTTTCAAAACTTCTGGAAGGATTTTTTTGGATCCTGACAATGAAGTTAACATGACTACACAAACAGATGGGTTCAGGGTTCTAGACTTCCAAGAAAAATATATATGTAGCCAGATGCTATTTGATGACCTATTCACTCATTTATTGCACTTCTTGATATGCCAACATTAGGGAGAACAATGATATATGAATGCATAAAGCCACCAGTTATATGTAAGAAGAACCATATCCAACACTTTCATTTCAAAGTTCTAAATTAAATAGTTACAAACTATTAGCAGCACCTAACCCAAAACAACCTTGACACTAACCCCATCAAGACTTTCTGTGAATTCGTGATACATCAACTCGGAGAACTAATAGCAAATGAAAATCCAAAGTGGAAAGAGATATATAAAGAAACAGACATAATATTACATCTATAACTGTAAGTTTGGCTTCTATAGAAATAAATACCTGTCTCACACCAGCAGAATGTGCAGGGCCATCTAATACAAGTCCTAGAACCTTCAATTTCACATCTCCATTGTCATCTGGAACTTCCCTGAGGTTTATTCCAATACCACTCATGTCATACCTCGCCATCTTGGAGAACTTTCATTTCAACAATGAAAAAAGCGACATGTGCCATGGAATAAGATACGCTGTAAATTTCGTAAGTGAAGACGATCCATATTTTGTAAGAGATAACATTCATAATCAAAGCACTTAATTTTTCTTCCCATCTTTCCTAAGCACAATGTATCATGATTTTAAAATTTGTTGTATGCTTCTCTGTGAATAAACGATACTGAAAGAAGAAGAAAGAAAGAAAAAAACGCTAAATACGGAGAGGAATAGAGGGGACAGATAATGAATTACCTCGTCAGGCGAAAGAAATCGGGTATAAGGGTCACCCAAGCTGGCCAACATTCGCTTAATCGTATCATGAGCCTTTGATCTTGTCTTTATTGAACTACTCCTTATGTCTTCCTTTTTCCTCTGAAAATTATCCCCAATCATTAATCACACGCACACACACATACACACTTATACATATAAATATAGGTACACACACATGTACGTACACAATTGAAAATCCAGAATCCGATACACATATCCATAAACAGAACAATTACTCTCTTATTCCGTAACTTCACTAACTTGGTTAAACAAACAAAAGTTACTTTCTTTCATGCAAGCTCTACAATCCACCTTCGCACGTGTGAATATCTGTTTACCTGCCAAGTTTCCGGGAACGAGCGAGAGCGACTGGTGTTGAGAAAGCTGTCATTGACGATTTCCCAAGCTTCCTCCACAATCCCCTCACTGGTCACCGCCGGTTCGGACCCTAACTCGGCCGTTTCATCTCCTTCATCTTCGCTGCAAAACTCCGGTGGCTGCGAAGAAGGATGAACTTGAACGGAGGAAGAAGAAGAAAACTCAATCGCTATGGAAGAAGAAGGCGAAGAGACCAAAAGACTGAACGACAGAGCACCACCTAGGGCTCCAACTAGAGCTTTCTCGGCCCAATTGATTGAATTGCGTCTGAAATTGGATCGAATTGGGGATTTTGGGGTTCGCGGTGGTGGTAGTGAAGATAGTGAGAGTGTGGTGGTGTTGCTGAGCAACAATACCCTCATCTTCTTCCAACCCAAAATGATTTTTTTTTTTCCCAAGCTCCGCGGAAGTTTAAATACGAGGCGTTTTGACCGTTGTTACAGTTGGACGCCTGTGAAGGAGGCTGTTTGGTTTCAAGTTTGAACGAGTCCAATTCCAGTTCGGAATAAGACAGAAGTGGTGGGACATAGGCCAGCTGTGAAGTAGCTGGCCCACAAACCAGCCCTTGCCTGCCACGTGTTGCGCTGCCGAACGTAGTTTGAACTCGACGACTGAGACTTTCTCTTGTTCCTTGTTTGCAGTTTGGATTGGATTGTGTTTTGGTTCAGTGTATGCTACTCGCTACGCCGTATGAAAAACTTTAGGATAAGCACCAATAATTTCTTATTATATATTCTTTTGCACCAAGACGCGTACTCACTTTAAGGGCGCGTCCCCGCCACTCATAATTCAATAATGAAGAAGAACCCAATGTAAACATGACAAGTTTGTTGTGTGATGGAAAAGTATATGTCTTGTTTGGTTGATTATGGATTATGATTTTTCATAAATACTAATTAGGAGGATTCATCAAAAAAAAAAAAAAGGTAAATCGGATTCTTAAGCTTTACGTATATGTGTGCGTGAAGAAAAATTTAAATGAGATGTCACGCGATTGATGATAAATAATGAATTAAATTACATATCACACGCTTGATAATAAATAATGAATTTATTGGCAATAGGCAAGTTACTTTTTTCTTTTTTTTAACTATATGAGTGATGGCCAGCTTGATTTGGAAGGTTTTCCAAAGTGACTATCAATCATCAATGTGAATGTTATCATAAATATTTTTCTCATTATACAGTTACCATAAATGTGTTCATGGAAGTGAAAATTATCCTATCACCCTTAAATTTTACGTACAAATGTGAGGGTAAGATTTCTACGAACTATTTGTTAGCATAATTTTATATAATGGAAACTACAAAACCGACATAATCTATGTATGTAAAATTGCAAGAACATTCATTTAAAATTGCAATTCATTTTACCCTGATACAATATATATCGCCAATGGGATGTAGAAAAGTATCTTAACTTGAAAATTAGTGATCTTAAGTTTGAACCCTTGTGACACATTGATAATATGTGTATGGGAAATCCACCTCCTCGTTTAATTTAGACTATCGTATGTATTAAAAAAATACAATATATATCATCCAATGAAAATATATATATATATTTGTATAAATTCACATTTAAGAAGCTTTTAAAAACAATATGTCAATTATTTGCATATACTCGTGTTGAAGAGTTATTATATTATTATTTAGGATCATATTTTCTTATTATATAACTTTGCATAGTGTATTGCTAAATTTATTAACCAGGAAGATTAAAAAATAATGTTTCTTCTTTTATCTGAGACAATAATATGTTCATGCTTTTTACCAATTTTGTTTTTTGGGTAACAATTTATAATATTTAAAATTGGTTTTTACTATGCACTGGGGAATAATAACAATAATTAATAAAAAAGAACCGCAGTGGTTTCAATATGCGAAACGGAAAATAATAAAACAACTTGCACACTCACAGAGAAAAGAAAAAAGAAAGAGAGAAAGGGAGGGTTTTCGGTGCAAAGACAGAGAGAGAGAAGGAGAGAGACTTTGGATATTTATCTTCATCTTCTGCTTCTTCTTCTTCTGCTTGTGTTCTGTTTGTTTGGCAGCGGCGGAACCACTGAGACGAACAATAAAGCGAAAGAAAGCCGTACCGGCAGTCTCAGATCTAAGGGTTTTCTCACAGAGGGAGAGAGAGAGACAGAGACAGAGAGAGAGAAATAATGAGTGGGAGAGGCGGAGGCGCGGCCACCAATGGCAAGGGCAATACTGGACTTTCGGGTATACCGGCGGGGTCTCGGAAGATGGTGCAGAGCTTGAAAGAGATTGTCAATAACTGCACTGAGCAGGAGATCTACGCTATGCTTAAAGACTGCAACATGGACCCTAACGAAGCCGTTAATCGCCTCCTCGCCCAAGGTGTATATCTCTCTCTCTCTCTCTGTGTATTTGCAAACAAAGCTTTTATCTTTTTCTTATTTTTTGTTTTCAAGTGTTGCGTTTTGTGATTTTTGGTTTTTGTTATTTTAGGGTATTGAGAAAGTTCGTACTGGACTGAGGCAAACTGTACTATTAACGTCAGTCCAGTGGGTTTTCTAAATTATAAAGGAAAAATATTTTTTTTTGGTTGAAGGAAGTTGTTCATTTGATTTATAAAGTTTTATGCTTTCCCTACTATTTGGTATATCAATTTCCTAGAATGATTTACTCAACCTTTTAATGTCATGCCTTTCTGAGCTATAACCCACTTTTGGGTTTTATTTATTTATTTTCTGGGTTTCCTATCTCTCTCTCATACACAGAGTCATTCATTCATCTTGTTTGACAGAATCATACATTGGAGCTTCAGGTTTATTTGCAAGATATGAAATTTCATTGACTCCTCTCAGTCAGAAAACTGAAACACAAATGAAAGCAATGAACTCTTTCAACTTTAATTATGTCTTTGAAGCATGCTACTACTGATGCTCGTTTTGCAAAATCTCAGTTTAAGATTGAGTCTTGTCTGTAATTTATCGACTCCTTATTGAGTCTTTTGAGATCTCAGAGCTTATATGAATGTGATAATATAAGATATATGTTTTTGTTGATATTTGCTTCTGATGTAAAGCTTATATCTTGTGTAGATCCTTTTCATGAAGTGAAGAGCAAACGAGAAAAGAAAAAGGAGGTTCGTTTGACATTTGCGTGATTTGATGTTCATGTTTCGTCATTTACCTACCATCCTTGTTGTTTTCATGGTTTGGATCCTATTTTTTAGAAAATGTTATGTTTTCTCATTACATAATTTATTTGCAAAATGCTTGGGTGGTTTGATATCTGTTTTAGGGTATACCTCATTTTTCTACATTTTATGTTGGCTGTATATATTCATTATTCTACTGCTGTTTATTTGTTAAATGACCAATGTACTTAATCTTTTTTCTCAATGGGTTTGCTCTGGTTTAGTATTACGATTTTAGTCTTTGCATTATGGTCGTGACATGGTTCTTGTATCTTTTTTTAACCTCTCTCTCTCTCTCTCTCATTTTGCTTCAGACTAAGGAACCAACGGAGCCCAGGTCCCGTGGTGCTAATAACACCTCAAATCATGGTGGTAGAGGTGGTGACCGGTATGCTGCACGTAGCGGATCAAACCACTTTAGCTCTAATGGTATGTGGTCAGCCGCAGCAATTCAAAGTTTGGATAAGACTGTTTACATAGTTGAAATTTCTGTGGAACGTTGATCAACTTAGTCTCTCACCTATCAATTTCTTTTCCCCTTCAGAGTCTGGTTTTTCGCATGGTAAGTCTGCATACAAGAAGGAAAACGGAACACATGCTTATGCAGGTTCTGCATCTGGCATGGCAGGACATAACATGAGTAGAAGACCTACATCCTACAGGTTATAACTATTAAACCTCAAACTGATACAGTTTTTTTTTCTTCGCTGATTTGAAGAGTAGAAAATGCAACTATAGTACAACTATTAATTTTGATTGTTAACCCTGTTATGTTCATTCTTGTTCTTTCGTTATCTTAACTTTAATTTTGAATTTTCGAAGAAAAAGCTTCTTATCTGTTGGGTATTTGGTCGCACTTAACTTTCACTGTTATGAGTAGCCTCATTTCTAACAAGCTTCTGTTTGATATATTTGTGCTCTTGTGGACATTGCCTACTATTGCAAAAGAATTTAATTAGGCCTTTTCTACGTCTCGAGTCTTGACATGTAAATAACACGTGGTTTGTTTGCATTGCCATAATTATTTGTAGTCTGTAACAGTTTTTCTCTAGCTGGTATTTTTGTGTTACTTTCATAGCTCTTGGGTGGTATGCATTGCTGTTCATATTAAACTCTGTGGATGATACAAACTCTATAGTATTACTCATCTATGTGTAAAATATATTGCAGTGATTCTGTGGGGACTGAAAATAAAATCTCAACAATAAGCACAGATGATGCAATATATTCATCCTCACAGCCTTCTACTGGATATCAGTCTGCATGGGTAGGGGTTCCAGGTCAAGTTTCCATGGCCGACATTGTTAAGATGGGTAGGCCACAAGCTAAGACTTCCACCACGCCAAAACCCCCTAATCACAGTGCTAATCATCATGATGTTGTGGCACCTTCTGAAGCAGAATTTCATCACAATTTGCATCCATCACAAGATCATGTTCCCAAGGTGTCAGCGACCCATACTGAGCCTGGAGCTGCTGCAAGCCAATATCTATCTCCCAATGATGAGTGGCCCTTGATTGATCCACCTTCTGTTAGCATGTCCTCTGTTTTAGGGGCACCCACAAACTCGGAGATGTATGCTGATTCATCTAACTTGCCCCTGGATAGAACTAATCAACATAGAATATCCCAGCTAGACGAGGTTCAGGTGGAAGAAGATGGTTCTGTTGATGCATTTCCAAGCCATAATGGGCCTACTTCTGTGTCTGGTAGACATATACAAGAAGATAATTCAGGGGGTGCATCTGCCTTTGATAATAGCTTGTATGAGGACATAAATTCCTACCAAACACAGCGACATGCTTTTGAGGAAAATGAAGGTAACCCCGATGCTTTTTTTTTTTTTTTTTTTGGCTGGGCCTGCAATATGCCATTTATTTTCCGTTCTTTGTAACTTATATTTTTTTCAACATTCCACTATAAAATTCGATCTAAACATCTAGTATAGATACTTTTACATGATCTTGTAAAGTTCAAGTGACTGTATAAGATGGTAACCAAAATCAGTGAATATCCTGTAGTGGAAAACTCAGTTATAACATGTGAAGTTATTGAATCAAGGAAAAAAAAAGCGACTCCACTGTGTAGGACATTGACCTGAACAGTTACTTGCTTTTCCTTGAATGCTAACTAATTTTTTTTTTCTTGATAAGGGAGATACTAATTTAAACTGTCCTGTGAGTTCCAGAATGTTTAATGCTGTGTTTTTTTCTAAGAAACTGCACTTTCCTTTTCTCAGCTGAAGATGAAGCATCATCGGTGGCTGCAAACCTGCAGCAACTTAATTTACAGAATGATGATAGGGGAGCACCTCCTGAAGATGATAACCCTCCTGTGGTCATCCCGAATCACCTTCAACTCCATACTCCAGATTGCTTGAACTTGAGCTTTGGCAGTTTCCGATCTGGCACTGATTCTGCTACTTCTAGCTCTCGGCCACTACAAAGCAATGTGGAAGAGACATCTGGGGCTATAGATGTTTCTGCAATTGGGCACTCAGATTCTAGGTATGTCCTTGCGATAGTATTACCCTTGACTTTATTGTTGGTTGTTTAGCATCATCTTAAGAAAAACTTTTCCTGCAGAAATCCTGAGTATTACGGAGATGAGCATCTCATAAATGCCTCCGATGGAAATTTGGTTCATAGAACTGTGGCCAGTGGTGGAGATTATGACTCTCCTTCAGCTTCACCACCGGAGGTCTTAAAACAGGAAACCCCTGAAGCGTCTCAAGGGAATCAGTATGTGTTTCCTTCTGCACCTGGATTTGCATATGAGAACTCCCAACAATTGAATGTGGCATTTTCTCACCCACAGACAAGCTCACAGATGCAGAATATTGCTCCCTTTTCAAGTGTGATGGTAATTTGATTAACTATGAAGTTGTGTTTCTTAGTTGTTGCATTAATAGTTTTGAGGTAATGATGCAGTCCCACATAATTGATTCTGGGCTGAGCAATACATTGTGAGTTGGTTCTGATGGAAACACCATTGGAAATAGAGATCTCACATGTTTAAAGTTTTTAGATTCACTGCATTATTAGTTTTGTAATCGTTCCTGCTTCTCTCTCTCTCTCTCTCTCTCTCTCTCTTAAATTATAACATTAGCTTAAGTAACAGCTACATCACATGTAATGCTAGTGCTGGAAGTATTGTGTGTGTTTATTGCTAAGTGCTTTATCTTCACAAGTGGATTAAAAGTTAGGGAAGAAAAGGCTCCATGGTGGTGATGATGATTAGGTAAGAAATGTGAAGCCAGTAATTAGAAGGATATAACAGAATTGGTAAACATTGGAAAAATTAAATTGGGAAGATGAAAGGGGGTATGAGGTGAAGCCTATCCTTTTTTTTTTGGTATACTTTAGATCATGCAGTCCTGGTGGTTTTGTTCGTCTTATTGTGTTGTACTGTATTTTGCATGTTCAAAACTGCCATCTTATTAATCTTTTGGGAGCAAGATATTCTGATGTAGTTGAATCTCACTTCCCATATCTCATTAAAGCAGGCGTATACGAATTCATTGCCCAGCACTCTGTTGGCTTCAAGTGCTCAGGCTGTAAGGGAAGATTTTCCATACTCACCCTTCCCCGTGTCACAATCCATGCCCACAAAATACAGCAATGCGGCTTCTTCTATCAGTGGTCCCACCATCTCCATGACAGAGGTGCCTTCCTTTCTATAGTGTATTGAACTTACTAATTATTCTTTCAGTATTTACTTTGACTATTATAAAAACATTTTTACAATTTATTTTGCGGACACAAGTCACTTGTGTTTGCATAAAATAAGTTAAAATGAATGATTTTAGAATATAACGTAAATGCAGATGTTTAAACATTCTTGTTAATCGAGATTCATGCTTAAATCCAAAAATTAAACTCAGTGTATGCAGCATATATTAGTCAAAGTACATTAAGTTGGCTGCAATTTACTTTTTATCTGTTCTGTTCTGTGAAGGCCATGGATTTGCTGGTGCAATCAGATGCCTTCTGCTTGTGATTGATTTAATTTGAATAAATGTAGCTTATTTTTAATCAGCTAAGGCTATCTATCTTTTCTACTTTTCTGAGCGAGCCTCTAGGATCTCCTGTAAACCCCCATGATGTGGTAAAGGGAGGATATTAAGGGGCCGACGAAGGGGGGAAAACGGAATGCGTTTTCTGGTCCCCCCTGATACTAAATTTTTTCAATGGTTTGATTTTATTACTTTCAGAATTTACTATTTATGATTGCAACTTATGTATGGGAGGCATTTGCCTGTGTCTTCTGTATTTTGTGTGTATGTTCTAATCCTATGGAATACATCCTTTTTTAGAATTTTTATTATGGACGACAAATGCAAAGAATGAAATTGTTAATTTTTTAGCGTTTTGGGGTCAACCTATTCTCTATTTCTCTGATCATAGACACGGCATTAAAGATATGAAATTTCCTTGCAATTATTTTATTTTGTATCTGCAGGCATTGAGAGCAGGTGGTATTTCTACACCTCAGCCTACTCCACAGAACCTGCCTGGTGCTAATGTTCCGACCGGACCTGCTCTTCCACAACACCTTGCGGTGCACCCTTATTCCCAACCCACTCTTCCTCTGGGGCATTTTTCGAACATGATCGGTTATCCTTTCTTGCCTCAGAGCTACACATACATGCCATCGGCTTTCCAGCAGACTTTTGCTGGCAACAGCACATACCATCAGTCTCTGGCTGCAGTTCTCCCACAGTATAAAAATAGTGTCTCTGTTAGCAGTTTGCCTCAGTCTGCTAATATTCCGTCTGGTTACGGGTTTGGTAGCTCAACTAACATTCCTGGAGGAAATTTTCCTCTGAATCCACCCTCAGCACCTACAGGCACAACAATTGGCTACGATGATGTTATAAACTCTCAGTACAAGGACAATAGCCATTTGATCTCACTTCAGCAGGTAATTTTTCACTGGTCTTGGGAAAACTCATGAGAAGTGCTCACACACAACTACTACTCTGTACTTAGGGAATCTTGCCTGTGATTGTGATGCGTCTTTTTTCTCTTCCAGAATGACAACTCAGGCATGTGGGTTCATGGACCTGGTTCGCGAGCAATGTCCGCTGTTCCAGCCAGCACATATTACAGCTTTCAGGGTCAGAATCAGCAGCATGCTGGGTTCCGGCAACCTCAGCAACCTTCACAGCAATTCGCTGGAGCTCTTGGTTACCCTAACTTCTATCACTCTCAGACGGGAATGTCCCTGGAACATCAACAGCAAAGTTCCAGGGACACATCCCTCGGTGGCTCGCAAGGCCAGCCCTCCAAGCAGTCTCAACAGTTATGGCAAAACACCTACTAATCTCAGTCACCTCCCTCTCCCCAGTTTTTTTTCAGGGTCTTGTAGTGAGTTTGGAAGTGGCCAACCAGAGGCATTATCGCGGTCTTAATAATCGTCATGTATCATTGTTTGGTCATAAGAGACTGGCTGCTGCCCTGTGCCACGAGGTTGTATTCTAGATGCTATTTCTTGGTCATGTTTAACGTAGGAACACGTGTGCTAATTTGGATTAGTGGATTTACTGCGTCCCTTTTCTTCGGTTTTCTCGTCTTTTTTTTTTCTTATAGTGGAAAGTTGTTTTTCATAACAAGTCTTGAACTTGGATCACTAGATTGGTTCCTTTGCATGAGTAAACCTTATATATGAACCCTTGCGAATGTGTAAAAATGTGATGATGGCAAAGCTTTTTTGTTGTTTTTCCAAAAAAACGTTCTGCGAAAAACGGGCCCTACCAATTTAATACCAAAAGGACAACTCCATTGAAGATTCAGTGTTCTTGTCAAAAACTCCATATAAAGCTTGAAGGGACCGTTTTGCTGAACAAAATTTCAAAGAATTAGACTTTGAATTTAATAAAAAGAAAAAGAAAAGAAAAGAAAGGGGAGTGGCTACTGATTTGTGTCTTTACGCACAGCAGCGGATTCTTCACTGTTTGGAGAGAGCTGGAAACAGTGATTTCCATCCATCCACTCTGTCTGTGTGTCAGAGACTCAGAGAGGTTCCTACGCGTTAAAGTTTGAAGCTTTAAACATTCACTCAGGAAAAAGAAGGCATTGTCTTGAAATTGGTTTGAAGATCACTCTACCTTCTTCATTCTTTGGTAAGCTCCTCCTCTCATGTCTGTGTAATAAGTTAAGTGGTAGAATTGGTTTGGTAAAGCCTCATGTAATAACAAAACAGACCTGGAAGTGACAGAGAAACTGAGAATAGAACATGTTAAGGAGTGAACGTTGATGGAATACCAGCAACAAAGAATGCACCATGTATGCCTTTGGAGTATTTTCAGCCATTCTCGTGGCTATAGGATAGGAGCCGTGCTAATTGCAGTTGGGTTGCTCTGCCTTGGGTTGAAAAAAGCCGATCACGGAAGAGCAAGTTGAAGTTAGAAGGTCGGGGCTTCAGGAGTTGGTTAAGATGTTTCAGCATAAGGCAGAGTCTCATGCCCTGATTCGTAAGAAAGTGTCTCGGAAGAATTTACCCCCAACGGCTGGTGAAGCATTCCCACAGAGTATTTATAAAAAATAACCAAAATTAGGCTCATACTTTCATAAATATCAGTTTCTATATATATAAAAAATCAAATATAACACAAAATTCACTTAAAAAGACACAAATACCATAAAAATTAAAACTCACGTAAACCTAAAAAGTTTCAAAGTAAAATTGATTGCTTGCATGTCCACACGAAACTCCTTCCCACCTTCTTTGACTAGCTTCTCAAATCATATTACTGCAATGAGTTTATTTTCCCTACGTTTAGACTCCTTTGGTAAACTCCCCCAACGACCCTTAACCAATTCTTGGTTGTGGTAGTAAAGACCATGGTAATTGGACTCTTGAGGATGGGTATTAGTTTGGTGTTGATGTGATTGTTGTTTATAGTGTTACTTGTTATGATGCCGACCTTGAAGACAGCCGTGGTGGACTCCTTGAGATCCCTTCTGACATGTCTGAGTGGTAAGTTTTGTTTGGCACAAACATTACTCACACCATAGAAAACAGCAGCCCCGCAATTGCAGTCTTCCAAACAAGACCTTTATATCCACACAAATCAGCCAGAAACCTGCTTGATCAAACATAAGCAATTTATATGCAAGAAAATTGTATTAATTTTGAGATGATCAAACAAAACTTGTCAAGTCTAGTAGAAGATGATCGTCTGCAAAATATTACATTTCTTCTTACTTTTAGGTTTATGTGAGTTTTTATTTTGACAATATTTGTGTCTTTTTAAGTGGATTTTCTGCTATATCTGAATTTTTTTAATTATAAAAACTGACATTTGTGAAATTAAGGGTCAAATTTTGGCTATTTTTGATACAAATTCATTCCCACATGATGCAGATTATCTCATCATTTAATGAATATGTTACATTTTTTGAAATGCAATGTTTACAACCATGGCAATTTCTTGATAACTTCATCTCGAAAATAAACTTGTAAGATTAGTTCCAAAAATGGACTAGGTTAGGATTTCAAAATAAAATGGTCTATATTTACTTTACGGGTGGACTGCTAGATTTTAAACTAGGACTATAAGTAGGAAAAAAATCTCACTTGGGCTATATAACTTAGGTTAGACACCACAATGATCAATAGCCCCAAAATCACACAAGCGCTCATATCCTAGTAAAAAATATAAAATGAAAACAATACCAAATTAACTCGATACTTTTTTTGGACACATGTATTAAAGTTCATAAGCTAAAAAAAATGTTCTGCTGCTTGAGAGTGAGCTTCAACTTGAAGCAATCGCAATTCGCCACACACACACACCCTCTCTGCCACTAAGGCGCCAATGCGCCATCCATGGTTAGCAGCCCTCACACGTCCTTCCTATTTCTCATAAATTCGGAGCTTTTCCAAGTTCCTGTGCGTTAAAGTTTTCAACTTTTGACCTTCTTCTCAGGGAAAAACCAAACAAAGGCATTGTCTTTATGGGAATTAATTTGAAGGGCACTCTACCTTTTTTCTTTGGTAAGCTTCTCCTCTCATTTCCTTGCAATAATTACATTAATTGAAATCTTTGTTTAATTCATTCCAGAACCTTAATTGACCATTTCTTCTTATCAATATCATTGTTTTTCCTCTGATTTGTCTGGGACAACTCTCTCTCTCTCTCTCTCTCTCTCTCTGTTGGGTATATTTTTTACTTTTCTAGATTATGTTCTCTCTCGCTCTCTCTGTTGGGTATATTTTTTACTTTTCCAGATTATGTTCTTATTTGTTTGTTTATATGGGTAGAGTTCAGGTTTTTCTGATTTATTTTGGGTTGCTTGTTCTTCTTCTTCTTTTTTATTTATTTATTTTATTTTTTACAAAATTTGATTATAGGGTCCGGATAAAACTGAGAATGCTTCCCATTGATAAAAGGAGGTGAATTCTTTAGTTTGAAGGTTGCAATGTGTGTAAAAATTGCTAGTTTTAAATGTTTATGAGTTTTGCTGTGTCAAGATGGGGAGTGAAACTATAGTAATGTTTTGATAACTTTCCAAACATTGCAGTATTTAGCTGTGATCAGTAACAGCTTAACCCGTCTCTTGTAAGAGACAAACCAAAGCTGCGACGCAATTCAGCCTCTTGGTTTCTTTTGCTCCTTGAGTTCCTGAGACTATTAGCTGATTGTTAACTTCTGTATGTGCATTGATGGAACACAACAAAAGCAGGGCTGGTGAGAACAGTTCTTCCCGTGGTTATAAGATGAAGAAACCAGATAGCCATAAAAACTGTCCTACTAGAGATGCCATTGCTGGAAGTGATCTTTGGACAGATGGACTTATTTGCGCTTTCGAATTTATTCGAGGCTGGAAGAAATCAATTAGTTCGAAACCTGGCTCAAGAATCCTAACCAAACAACAAACAGATGGTGAGCATGAGAGGCTGTGTGTTCCTTCTATTGGATTTTCTGAGTCTTCTTCCCCAATGGAAGATAGGAACAAGTCCCCAAGTGATGACTACAGAAGTAACCAGATTCAACATGATATTGAAAGATTTGAGGGTGGTCATTGGGTACCAATTGGGTGGTCTAGACTTTCAGAAATTGTCCAAACTGTGCAAGCTGATTCTGGTTGGGCCTGTCAGGAGTTTAGGGTGGATGATGAAGATGACTTCACTGTTGCAGATTTAGCAGCTCCCTATTGGGAGCGTCCAGCAGGGCCCATTTGGTGGTGCCATGTCTCAGCAGGTCACCCATCAGTTGATGCATGGCTCAGAAATGCCCAGTGGCTACACCCTGCCGTTAGTTTAGCTTTGAGAGATGAAAGTCGACTGATTAGTGACAAGATGAAGCACCTGCTATATGAGGTAAGTTGCATTTTACATATCTGAAATTTCTATTTAATTGGTAGGATTGGTTTAGCAAAGCTTCTTGTAACAGTAAAAAATACCTGGGATTGAATCCCTCAACCATGAATTGGTGGCTTATTGGATGTCAGGGGAGCCACTTTCTATTGGACCCAAGGGAAAAACTGAGAATAGATTATATCATGAATGTGTTACTTAGAAACTATTGATAAGTTTTATGAACTATTAGGATCTTCTTATGATGGAAATATGTGTTTCCAATGCGAAGGAGTATGTTCGTTATGAAAATTGGAAATGTGGAAGGTTGGTTGAGATGGTTTTAACTTAACCCTCTTTTCACCATTAGACTGTGAGTAAGACATAGACAGCTAGGAAATAATTGCATTGTGCCTGTGAGAGTCCTCTTACATCTAAGCTATAGTTAACATATTGACTAAGAGTCTGCAACTATGACTTTTGGCTTTTCTGGACTCTGGCTTTGTTGGTTTTTTCTTTTTATGGTTTGATACTTCTGTTCAGGTCCCAGTTAGGGTTGCTGGGGGATTGTTGTTTGAGCTCTTGGGACAGTCAGCTGGTAATCCATTTGTTGATGAGGATGATATTCCCATTGTACTTCGCTCCTGGCAAGCACAAAACTTCCTTGTAACTGTTTTGCATGTAAAGGGGCCGGTATCAAGTGTTAATGTCTTGGGTATCACAGAAGTTCAGGTTGTTCATATTTGACAAAGATACTTTCAATGCCTTTGATCTTCTTACTAAGTTACACTTTATTGTGCTGTGTGACTTGTTGTGGGTTTGTACTTTAATCCTTTGCTTCTCTGCTTTGGTTAGGAACTTCTTTCCACTGGCGGCTATAACATACCTAGAACAGTGCATGAAGTCATAGCACATCTAGCTTGCCGCCTTTCTCGGTGGGATGATAGGTAATGTTAATATTATTTTTCTTTTATAGTGAAAATTACAGAAGCCTACCTACTCTGCAAAGTGATACATCAAACATTGGTGTCAGCATGAGCATTCATCTTTTGTGCTTGAGGCTTTGATCATATAGAGATTTGATTTTATAATTATAATGATGTCTTCAACATGGGTGGTTAGTCTGTTTAGTATCTGGAAGTTCTTTTGTCTGTCTCTCATTGAAGTTCAAATTCTCTTTCATTGCCCATGTTATGACATTTATATATGCATCATACATGTTTGTCAATTTTAGTTTCTTAACTTGTGGTTTCCTTCAATGTCTTGGTTGTTACAGGTTATTCCGTAAGTCCATATTTGGGGTGGCAGATGAGGTTGAATTAAAATTTATGAACAGGTTCTTCCATATGCTTACAACCATTCCTCCTAAAGTTATATTTTCTCTTTAATTAGTTTCTACTTCGTTTATGACAAGCTTTTTTTCTCTATGAATAGGAGAAACCATGAGGATCTGAATCTATTTAGTGTAATCCTCAACCAAGAAATCAGAAAGTTATCAAGACAGGTATGCAAAATCCCTTGCCAGTTAGTAAGTATTAAGACACTTCCAGAGAACCTTCAGCTGGGATATTAATGTGTATAATTTTTTTCCAAGTCATGATTTCTGTTGGGTGCCTACCAAGCTACATGTCAAATTAAGTTCTTTAAAAAGAGTAGGCCGGATTTTATCTTATTGTTTTCCTATATTTTGAAGTCGATAGGTTTGCTGAAAAATTCAAATGCAGGTTATCAGAGTGAAGTGGTCACTTCATGCAAGGGAGGAGATTGTATTCGAGCTATTCCTACATTTGAGAGGAAATGTAGCAAGAAACTTATTAGAGCAAATAAGAAAGAGCACAAGAGAAATGATTGAGGAGCAGGAAGCTGTTCGGGGCCGCTTATTTACCATTCAGGATGTGATGCAGAGCACTGTTCGTGCATGGCTGCAGGTATATGCTCATAAAACAAAATGGGAAATATAGAGAAATTTATAATTTCCATTTGTTATTTTAACATGGCTTTTTATTCGTTTAATAGTCAATTCATTGTCTTCTGAATGGTTAACCCAGGATAGAAGCCTTCGAGTGACGCATAACTTGGCTGTTTTTGGTGGCGGCGGCCTCATCCTTTCCATAATCACCGGACTATTTGGAATCAATGTCGATGGAATGCCCGGAGCACAGAACACACCATATGCCTTCGGTGTTTTTACAGCCATTCTCGTCTTTCTCGGAATGGTGCTAATTGCAGTTGGGTTGCTCTACCTTGGGTTGAAAAAACCAATCACGGAAGAGCAAGTCAAAGTTAGAAAGTTGGAGCTTCAAGAGTTAGTTAAGATGTTTCAGCATGAGGCAGAGACTCATGCCCTGGTTAGTCAAAAAGTGTCCCGGAATAATTTAACCCCAACCTCCGGTGATGCTTTCCCATATGATGCAGATTATATTGTCCTTCAATGAGCATGTTACAACTGTTGAAGTACATTTTGTATAATGGAAATTTTGTATTCTTGAATAGTGGTGAATATCATCCAGAGCTGGCAAACAAATTCTCTCCTAGTTTTTCAAATTAACCAAGTTCTACAGAAGTAATCAAATTTCATAACAATGCGACATTTTTAGCTAATTTGATACTTGAAAACCAGCACGCCATGTATATTGGACAGAAAAACATAAAACTGATGTTCTCTCCTTGCTTCTCTTCTTCCATATGGTGCACAAATCATTTAAGAAGGGATCTAGCTAGATGCTCGCGTGCAGTGGCCAAAGCTTGACTAATTGTCTGCAAACAAAAGATATATACATTAACAACGTAAAATATGGTGGCAGGGGGGGCTATTTTAGTTGTTGACTTGGTATCTTTTTACACGTCAAGTTTAACTATCTAGTGCATAGGTATACCTGCTCGGACAATGGAGCTCCAGCATCAATGCTATGACTTGCAACCTTACTTGCTATAACATTTGAATCGGTCTCGAGGACAATACTGCACCAAAAAGAAAGAGTTGAGCCCCAAAAGTGAGATTTGCACTCATAGGCCTAGTGGCTCGTGAATTGTAAAAGAAATAAGGTACAACCAGACTAAACAAAAGGTGAATATATGCAACATATCTAAAAAGATCAATATTCTCTTCAAGTAAACTGCTACCACTCTGGTTCTTATGTCATACTAGCTTATAAGAAAAAATGTAAAGGTTGGAAATTGAACTCACTGAATAACACTAAGAAACTTTATTATCATGAATACTATAGCTTACCCGCCATCAACAATTTCATCAAGGCATAATAAAATGAGATCCAAATTCTCAAGTGCCTCCTTCTTGTCTACATTGCCTCTGGACAAAAGCAAGGCTAAATGAACATCAAAATTTAATTTATTGAGCGTAAAACATTTGATTGTACAAAAACAGAGGATAAGGTAGCAAGTTTTAAGAAGGGAGCCAAAAACCTAAGGAGAATGCCAACTGCATCGAAAAATCCCTGGAGAACTGTGGATAAAATGAGCTCATTTTCATTGTCCCCCCCAGTAACAAAAAAGTGAAGGTCTTGAACAAACTTGTAGACTACAATGGTGTTCTCAAACATTGCTATTTCAGCTGTACATGAAGAAGCAACAAGTTAATATAGAAAGGGTTAGCAGTTGATAGGGATTAGAATAATTGGATGACATATAACATATACAGAATATAACCTCAACAGAAAAATAATTATAGCTCAAATTACCTTCTGTCCGTGCATTTGTCTTTTGAGTTTTAGTAAATACAGCTTTCTCAAAAGATTCCTTTGCACTATTCGTTGGCCAGTCCTCTGAATAATACTTGACAGCCACACGCTTCCCTTCAGAATCGAGGAGGAGGATGTTCTTAATGGAAGGGCATGACTCCTACAAACAACAGCCAATGAAGGATTAAAAGATTTCCAAAATTTTGAATCATAATAGGATCACTACAGCAACTGATTCTAGCCCTGCCATTAAAAGGAAATAGCCCTAGCAACATCCACTTAAGGTAGATATCTTACTCATTCATAATTGTCAGGGAAAACTGAATGTCTTGCCTCAAATTAAATGAAAACATAATATGGTAACCGACTCTATCTAACACATCATTTTACAAAAGTTATGAGTCAATTATTTGTTCCTGCAAGCCTAAATTTACCTGAAATTTGGATTGCAGCTGTACAATAAAGAGATATTGGTCGTCAAGGTGTTCTTGTACATCTAAAATTAGCATATGAGACAAAAGGTGTACCATCTTTCAGACCACACTATCCATGACAAACTTTTGGTACTACAGAAGCACATGTGCATTAACATTGGGATTGCACAATTTTGTGTGATCCACATGGAACCACATAGGATACAACATAAAACGCAGTCAAAATGACAATATTACTGAATACGCTCCACTACAAGTTTACTGAAATCATTTCCCAGGATCACAGTTGGCTATGGTAACTCAGTTGCAAGCTCAGCAGGGTCCTACGAAGCTCAAAGGATATACCGTATATAAAACATCTTAAAAATTCAAATGGATCCATTTATAACATTAAGAACATTTCTTTCACATAAAAGAATTACCTAACAAGAACAAACAAACATAAAAAACTTGTGATGTGAAATCATTTTCCCAGGGTCATGTTGGCTAGGGTAACTCAGTTGCAAGTTCAGTAAGTCCCGACCAAGCTCAATTAAAGTTATTATTACAAATTCAAATGGGATCCATGTTTACCATTATGACATTGATGTTTTCCTGTCATATATCCGCACAAAATTAACAACAAACCAACATAAAAAGCTTGAGAAAATTAGGACGCTTTATTAGTTTTAATCAGAAAGTGCATGCATATATAGCTATATTTTCAGAATATGAATTTCAGTTGTGTTGCTGTTGCTGTTGTAGGATCTGCAAGATCCAGTTCTAAAGAACTTGGATCCGCCTCTAATCATTCCACTCACAGATAGATCAAGAACCTCATACCAATGTCTAACTATAACCCTAACCCTAGCCCCTAAAATTGTTAAATCAATTGGAATTTAAGGGGGCAGAGAGAGAAGGGGGAAGAGAGTGAAAAGAAACTGACCATTTTGTTCGGAGAAGAGCGAGTCTCTGATGAAGCAGCACAAGAAGCGAAATTTTTTGTTTTTGGGACACGTTATTCAATTTTATACTTTCCCCAACCCACCACCTAAGTTTTTGTTATTTCGATAAGAACCCCGAAACTATTTTTATTTTATGCTAATTCCACCTGACCCTTGTTCTCTCTCTATTTTTTCCCAATCACATCCACCGCGGAAGCTTCGCGCAAAGACAAAATTACAGTTTCATCATCTGATATCATCACCCACCGATCAACATCCACATCCAGAGTCTACAGTACCATTCATGAGTCGGCTGTTGCAGAAGGTACCTATCAAATCAAACCCAACCCTCCTCTCTCTCTCTCTCTCTCTCTGCTTCTGCTACTTTGCTTACATTTTTGGGAAATTTTCAGGCGCCATTAATATCGGTGTTTCAAAGCTTGGTTGGAGCTCATGGACGGTACTTCCCTACATGCCCCTGTTTTGTTTTCCGTTAGTCATATGATTATATGTTGTTTGATGAAATTCTTTGTTCAAAATTGAAATAAAATAGAGCAAGTTTTATAGCTGATATATGATTGATTGTTACATTCATCTTATGTGATTATGTAGCACTTGAATCTGCTTTTTGAGTTGTAATATTCTGTGAAGATGAATTTTTTACTTAAATACAGTTCCAGTGGCCGAGTGTTTGGGATACTTGAGAACAATGTGGGAGTGTCATCTTGTAGAAAATCAGTTTGTGGATTTAGAGCTCTTTGCACTGGCAAAGGTGCGTGTAGCCCTTCCACCGTTTCTGTAATTTGGTAATCAAATGTAATTTCACTCGAAACTTCGATTTGTTTACGAAAACCTTTCAAATAATCTTAAAGTGCCACCGTGCAGTAAAACATCCCATCCATTCCCGAAATTTTCGACATGAGCTGCATTTCCTTACTTCTCAGGATAAGAGATACAGCTTGGAAAGGCTACTTTTTCTTGTGTGCAATCCTTAATCCACATGAACAATGAACGAAAACTAAATTATCCACAAAGTACAAACATCACGCCGATATCCAGTTTGTCTGTGATCTATTAGTTTGTTAACTTTATTGCCTTGGCCCCATTCTAAATCATCTTGTCTTGGTTCACATCTTTGAGATATTGCTAATCACTTGGAGACCTTTACGAGCAAACTGTAAAGTTTTAAGTTATTCCCGATCCTATTAGGGTTAGGATGCAAACATCACTTATATTGCGGTGACTGGTAAGTAATCTTCACTTCTTGGTAGGTTCATCTCTGTTTTTGCTTTCTATCCTCCTCAATTAGCTTGTCCGATTTTCAGTAGAATATAGAAGCTCTTATTCATTAAGGGGAAGGAACCTGCTTCTTGATTTGTTGGCCTTATCCACAGGTTTCCCTTTTTATCTAATATGACGGGCATTGGTTATTGACGCTATTTGTTCTGTAATATCAAAATTTGGTAATACTAGTGTTGTCATAGCTGGATTCTAAGGGAAATTTTATTCTTCTTATGTGGCACTGTTTTCTGGCTGCATCAGATTTGTCAATAAAGAAGTGTGTCCCTTGCGACTCAAAGGATCTGCGACCCATGACTGAACAAGCAGCAAGTGATTTAATCACAAAGGTTTCTGACTAAATGAATATACACACAAACAAACACATGTACACTTCTCTTTTAAAGCTAATATATTTGGTTTAGGTGGATGGATGGAATTTGGTGAGTGAAGGTGATGCATTGAGACTGAAAAAGATATGGAAAGTTAAGAGCTTCACAAAAGGACTGGAAATGTTTAAGCTCATAGCTGATGTTGCAGAAGCAGAAGGTATTTGAAGCCTGTTCTATTTTCTGATGCATAGCAGTCTGCATGTATGAATATTTCATTTGAATTTGAGAAAGGTGGTAATGTAGATGAGCAACAATAATGTTTATGTTGCAGGTCATCATCCAGACCTTCATCTTGTCGGATGGAACAATGTAACCGTAGAGATATGGACGCATGCAGTCGGTAAGGACTTGCCATTACCAAGAACCAATTTGTTTGTATAGTTTACTGCACCTTGAGGATGAGTTTTTTACATGAAATGCATTGTGCAGGCGGATTGACTGAGAACGACTTCATTCTTGCTGCTAAGATCAATGCACTCAACATGCAACATCTGTTGAGGCGGAAAGCTACCAATTGAGCTGCCGGAATTGGGTGATATGATGCCGTGGGAAAACATGCTTTTGGCATTTTTCTTGGCATCTTTGCCGTGAAATGAAGCATCTTAGGAAATCTTGGTTCCATGTGTTTTTTCTCTGTGCAAGTGTGTCTTAAGCGAATTACCCAGGCTTTCTTTTTCTACTTTTTCGCTTTTTAGTTTTTTTAATAAATCAAATTTCATTCCAAGGGTAAAATGTTAGCCCAAACTTGAGCCTGCCGGGCCAATGTGTCTTCCCTAGAGCAGTTTCAGCAGGCTGCCCTTGCCAGGGGAGGAGGGGCCCAAGCCCAAAATTCATCTTTCAGTGGGCTGAAGCTGCCAGGGCAGCTGCTGTGGCCCACGAAACCATGCCAACCCTCAGGCACAACAAGCCTGTGCTCTAGCTTGGGTTTGCTGACGTTAGCAACCAAAAAAAAATTGAAAAAAATACAAAAAATTTCAGAATTTTTTTAAAATAAATATTTGTTCCGTATTAAAATTCGTAATTCAATACTGGTGCAATCAATATGTAGATTGATTAGGGGAGTAGATGATCACATACTTGTTCTTCCTCTTCTCCATTTTTAGACTTTCTCGATTTACGACTTTTTCATTGCAAATAAGTAAACATGAAATTAGGTTTTCGAATGGTAAAGCTTTTGTTTAGGTACATAGGCTTCTAGTACAAACTGTTGTGAATTTAGGTTTTCCAATAGTAAGATGCAAGAGAAGTAGGTAACTATGGTATTCACAAATGGGGAAGATGAAAGTGCGAAACCATCTGCCGGGTCAAGATCAGAGAGCTCAGAAATATGGGAATTAGGGAAAATTATTTTGTCTTCTTATTACTAGAAGAGAAGTTATTGAAGCAGCTAAAAGGAAGGCTCAATCAGAGTCATGTATTTAAGAAGACGTCTTTTGGAAGGTGTCAACATTTATTGCTATGTTTAATTCCCTCCTCTCAATTCTTCACTTCCCACATCAAAACTCTATACAAATTCCTCTCCTTATATCTCATGTGAATAGTTGTTGTCATTGCAATGGGTGGAAACACCACAACCTTTTACAAGGGCTGCCACTATTTACATGAATAGTAACAGTCCTTGCCTTGCCCTTACCTTTTGCAATGACAAATGGGTTGAAGTGCTTTAAGCGCGCCAATTTTACCTTGGCACATAATCAAATGACCCAGAGTGAATTTTGCTAAAAGTAGTTTACCAATTAGAATTGTAGAACTGAAATCCACAATTTTCCACCCCAAAAATAAAATCCACAATTTCACCTCTTTCATATATCATAAATTATTGATTTAACCGTTAATAATAATTATAACCTAGTACGCTAATATATAAAAAGTTATAATAAGACAGACTTGAGCTTAGCCAAGTTAGTTAGGGTGGATGTGCTCTTCATTTTGCACCTGAGTTTGAATCTCCATTTCTATAGTTAAGATTAGTTTAAAGCAGAATATCGTTTGTATTAAAAAAAACAAAAAAAACAAAAAGAAAGTGATAATAATAAACAAAGTCTTTGTCTATAATATTTCTCTACAGTTGGCAGAGCTTATGCGACGAGATCTAGAAACCTTATCATGGGATTGGCATGTAGACAGCTAGAAAGTTTTACCCACTTTCCTTTCCTTGCTTTCTTTCTTTTTTTTCCTATCCTTTTATGCATGGAATCCAATTCCATGCTATTGCAACACTTTCAGCCACTTCGTGCATAAATATAGTCCATACAAGTGTTAGCCTACCAAAAAACATAATCGCTCTCTGCGGATTTATTTCTAAAGAATTAATTGAAACAAACCTTACAATCAGTCAAGAGCCCCACAAAAAGCCATTAATATGTTTCATTTTCAGCTTTTGTTCCCTTGGGGAGGGGACCCTTTGTGAATTTACATCCGGCCTAATGTCCCCATACAAGTCTTGGTACATTTGACAATTGTGTACCTCATTAACAAGCAGCTAAGAGCACAACTCACTTCGGATCAGAGAACGTAAATATACTGCTTCATGGCTCAATGACCAAGGACCCCCACCTTCCAACGGGGAGGTAATTGTGCATAATGGTTTCTTATCAGCTGAAGAGCGAAGATTGACAGCAATACCTGCAAGCCTAGCACCAAACCCCGTCTCAAACTAGTCAGATTTGAAGTTACAGTTAGCAGTATTACAAAAGTATCAGTTGATGTTTTCCTTTGAAAAGCAAAATAAAAATAAAAACCATAAGTTTGAATCGCCATGCGCCGATATGGGGATTATCCAATGCCACCATTTCCAAGCGATTCGGAAAATGAATGAGAATGTAACATCCAGGATTTAAAAAAATGCCACTTACAATGCTACATTACTCTACATTACACCATAGTAAATTCTAGCAAACACACCTTCAGTTCCTGCAAATTCTACTCTCAAGTAGCAACAGTACATTTTTCCACCCTATAATAGTGCAAGGTTCAGAAGAGTCTATGATACACAATCAAATTGATGCATTTTCTACCACCTTTTTGTTACTATTGCTCCACTGAAGGTTTGTCTGATCAAGTCAATGCAAGTGAACTGAACTTAGAATTCCTCTGAACTTAGAAAGGTCTGCTAGCAAAGAACAGAGCATAAAACTCAATTGATTTTTTTATTTGATTCACTAGTTACCCTTAGAAGAGAAGTTCTTCCTAAAATACCCTGTTCTGAGGAAAAACAACTACAAACCGGCAATTGAAACAACGATGTTACGAAATTGTTGTGATACTCGGAGTTCACAAGTTTAGTCTATTCCTATTCGAGTGGCATACCGAAAGTGTTACCAGGGCCACCTTAACTAGTTTGTGCACCTCATATGCCATCTTCCTCCTAGAAAGCCTGGTTATTCGACTATTACGATAGCCTAGAACTAATGTGACTCGCTATC